GCATCAAGTGGTCATATACCAAAAAAGCAAATTAGAATAAAAATTTAATCCAAAATTCAATCATAATCCTCCACCCTTTTACCTTCCATCTCCCCTCAACCACCAGCCAACTATCCTATCTTTGTCTGCATTGAAGTTCACATGTTATGAACCTGTGAATACATTATCTCCTTATTATTTTCTCCTTCCACCCCCTAGTCCTGAATGTTTTGGCACAACTTGACTTCATCTAGACTGGTGTCTATTTTCTTTTGACTTGACACAAGACACTTAAAACTGAAAGTCAACAATAGAATTTTTGTTTAAAATACTCTTGGATTTTCCATGCCCATATCTTTTTTCCTTCTAGTCATTCTTTCCTCTGAATGTCAGTATAAATCAGTTTAGTGATATGTAAAGAAATACTGTTAAAAAAATTTAAGTTGTGGTGGGCTCAAGTAATAGCATAAGAGTGAATTTATACCTCATATAGTGAGAGAAACCTCTCCTAATTTTGCCAGATTTATCAAGTCTTCTTTTTTTACAGCATCTTAGATGTTTCATACATGAAGTGCATAAATTAAGTTCATTTGATAACAATAATTCACATCATTAGCTAATACGTATTAAATTCATGGCACTGGAGTAGATCAAGCCTAGAAAAACACATCCCATTGTGTCTATCAACTCTTGTACAGTGGGATAAAGTGATAAATTTCTCTTGTGTTTATTATTATTATGATGATGATCATTATTACTATAGGTACAGTACTGTGTTAAGGGAATACCGTACTTTATTGGTATTTATTATTTGTTATTAAAGAATGTTGCTTGTGAGTGACAAAAGTACCTTGTTGAATATTTTATAAGATGAATCTAATATATACATATGGTACATATATATACCTAATGAGTGTGTGTGTGTGTGTGTGTATATGTGTGTGTACTTAGCTATTTGTGGTTGCACACACACACAAACAGCTCCTGTTTGTGTGTGTGTGTGTGTATTTGTGTTTGTGTTGTGTGTTTGTCTGTCTGTATATACATTTTTTTTTCACACGTCGGCCATTACCCACTGAGGCAAGGTGACCCAAAAAGAAAGAAAAACTTTCATCATTATTCAACACTTTCACCATCCCTCATACATAATCACTGTCTTTGCAGAGGCACTCAGATAAACATACATTTCATTTACTCTAGTACTTCCAGTGCTGGGTTGTATTATAAACAGTGGTCAATAACAGTCACAAATTTCACTTGACAGGGAAAGAAATTACACTCAGAAATAGCTTGTGTGATTTATATACTGTAAAGTATATATTTCTCCTTAACTAAATCACTGTACATATATAATAATTCCTAGTGTACAAGGATTTTTTTACAAGCCACATTAATGTAAACAGTGAATACTGTAATAAAAATTAAAGCCAGAGGCAACAGTGAGCTATATGCCAGCCGATGGCCTGAGAGAGTCTGGCTGGAACAGTTGACACAAAAGAGGTAATCAAGCCAGCCCCTCAACTCCTCCCTGACAAGTCAGAATGCCACAGCACACCTAATGGTGACCAGATGATATAAGGCTGTATATCACCACTAGATGCCTCTGATTTCCTGGTTTACAGCTAGTAACGATGACTACAGAGTTTGTGGTTCATCTTCTGAGCACCAAATAAATTTTTTTTTTTTTTTTTTTTTTTTTTTTTTTTCAACAAGTCGGCCGTCTCCCACCGAGGCAGGGTGACCCAAAAAAGAAAGAAAATCCCCAAAAAGAAAATACTTTCATCATCATTCAACACTTTCACCACACTCGCACATTATCACTGTTTTTGCAGAGGTGCTCAGAATACAACAGTCTAGAAGCATACACATATAAAGATACACAACATATCCCTCCAAACTGCCAATATCCCAAACCCCTCCTTTAAAGTGCAGGCATTGTACTTCCCATTTCCAGGACTCAAGTCCGACTATATGAAAATAACCGGTTTCCCTGAATCCCTTCACTAAATATTACCCTGCTCACACTCCAACAGATCGTCAGGTCCCAAGTACCATTCGTCTCCATTCACTCCTATCTAACACGCTCACGCACGCTTGCTGGAAATCCAAGCCCCTTACCCACAAAACCTCCTTTACCCCCTCTCTCCAACCCTTTCGAGGACGACCCCTACCCCGCCTTCCTTCCCCTATAGATTTATATGCTTTCCATGTCATTCTACTGTGATCCATTCTCTCTAAATGACCAAACCACCTCAACAACCCCTCTTCTGCCCTCTGACTAATACTTTTATTAACTCCACACCTTCTCCTAATTTCCACACTCCGAATTTTTTGCATAATATTTACACCACACATTGCCCTTAGACAGGACATCTCCGCTGCCTCCAACCGTCTCCTTGCTGCTGCATTTACCACCCAAGCTTCACACCCATATAAGAGTGTTGGTACTACTATACTTTCATACATTCCCTTCTTTGCCTCCATAGATAACGTTTTTTGACTCCACATATACCTCAACGCACCACTCACCTTTTTTCCCTCATCAATTCTATGATTAACCTCATCCTTCATAAATCCGTCCGCCGACACGTCAACTCCCAAGTATCTGAAAACATTCACTTCTTCCATACTCCTCCTCCCCAATTTGATATCCAATTTTTCTTTATCTAAATCATTTGACACCCTCATCACCTTACTCTTTTCTATGTTCACTTTCAACTTTCTACCTTTACACACATTCCCAAACTCATCCACTAACCTTTGCAATTTTTCTTTAGAATCTCCCATAAGCACAGTATCATCAGCAAAAAGTAACTGTGTCAATTCCCATTTTGAATTTGATTCCCCATAATTTAATCCCACCCCTCTCCCAAACACCCTAGCATTTACTTCCTTTACAACCCCATCTATAAATATATTAAACAACCATGGTGACATTACACATCCCTGTCTAAGACCTACTTTTACGGGAAGTAGTCTCCCTCTCTTCTACACACCCTAACCTGAGCCTCACTATCCTCATAAAAACTCTTTACAGCATTTAATAACTTACCACCTATTCCATATACTTGCAACATCTGCCACATTGCTCCTCTATCCACTCTATCATATGCCTTTTCTAAATCCATAAATGCAATAAAAACCTCCCTATCTTTATCTAAATACTGTTCACATATATGCTTCAATGTAAACACCTGATCTACACATCCCCTACCCACTCTAAAACCTCCTTGCTCATCCGCAATCCTACATTCTGTCTTACCTCTAATTCTTTCAATTATAACCCTACCGTACACTTTTCCTGGTATACTCAGTAAGCTTATTCCTCTGTAATTTTTACAGTCTCTTTTGTCCCCTTTCCCTTTATATAAAGGGACTATACATGCTCTCTGCCAATCCCTAGGTACCTTCCCCTCTTTCATACATTTATTAAACAAAAGTACCAACCACTCCAACACTATATCCCCCCCTGCTTTTAACATTTCTGTCATGATCCCATCAGTTCCAGCTGCTTTACCCCCTTTCATTTTACGTAATGCCTCACGTACCTCCCCCACACTTACATTCTGCTCTTCTTCACTCCTAAAAGATGATATACCTCCCTGACCAGTGCATGAAATTACTGCCTCTGTTTCTTCCTTAACATTTAAAAGTTCCTCAAAATATTCTCGCCATCTACCCAATACCTCCATCTCCCCATCTACTAACTCCCCTACTCTGTTTTTAACTGACAAATCCATATTTTCCCTAGGCTTTCTTAACTTGTTTAACTCGCTCCAAAATTTTTTCTTATTTTCATTAAAATTTCTTGACAGTGCCTCTCCCACTCTATCATCTGCTCTCCTTTTGCACTCTCTCACCACTCTCTTTACCTTTCTTTTACTCTCCATATACTCTGCTCTTCTTATAACACTTCTTATAACACCAAATAAATATATAATATATTTGGTGCATGCAACAGTACACATGTATGCACAGAGACAGAGTGCAAGTGAGTGAGTGTATGTGAGTGAGTATATGGGAGGTTGACAGCTCATCAAATCCCGAGAACCACTTTGCTCTACTCTGATCTAACATGCTAACATACACCTGCTGGATGTCCAAAGCTCTACCTCCACCCCTCAGTTACACACATCATTAGCAGCTAAATTTACTCCAGTCTTTTTACACGACTAAGTTGACTTTGTGCATGATCACCCAAAATCTGTGCTAAAACTGTTTCTTTTATGCCAGATAATGTTTATTTGCTTTAAAGTATGTTTTCATGTTTCTGTAATTTATAATAGTACCTTTATTACCTCACTTAACTTACCTCACTCAAGTTGCTTTACTTTAATTTAGCATAAACTTTTTTTGCAGAGATCTTCTGTTTTTATTTTTTATAACAAGTGCTTTGGTTGAGGGGAATTATTTTGTTAGTATAGGATGTGTTTTAAGAATTAACATATTGAAAGTTTAGTAGATCCCACACATGGTTATCCCTCAAGTAGTAGATGAATAAATGTGTAGTAGTTGATCAAAGATAATTTAAAGTAGTCAGATCAAGGCAGTAGCATTTGAGATATACACATGCATTCATATATATAATGTGTAGTTTTTTTTTAATTGAAGTGCACAAGAGGTTCTCATGAGAAAGATCCATTAGTATGATACAGTGGCCAGTACTCAAAACCAAGTTTTTACTCTACATCATAAGAACATGACAAATGAAAGTTGTATTGTACAGGGTCTATTAATAAAATTAGGTATAAGTGGCATTGAGGATAAGTTTATGATTGCAAATCATCTGAATGTGAGTTGCAAAGTACTAAGGGCTGGGAAGAATAGTGAAGATCAGATTTAATTTCAGAGTTCATCTGAATGGTTATGATGAAACATACTTGGGAGCAGATGACCCGAGATGATAGGAAAAGACAAAGAGGGAGGGAATGAGTGGGTGACAGGTATTTTAGTATAGAGAGGTGTACTGTACAAGGAAATGGATGCATGGAGGAATGTTTGGAGTTATTTTGAATAGGGCTTCAACAGTGTACAAATAAGAACATAAGGAATTACAGAAGGCTTATTGGTTCATATAAAATATAGCCATTCTCTCTCTGGTAATTGCCAGCGTATCCTGGAAACTTGACAGTGTATTTCCGTTAGTGATGTAGTTTGGTAACTCTTTCCACACTTACTGTAATGCTATTTTTGAATCGCCATTTATCTATTGTTTTAAATTCTAAACTTTTCAGCTTGAATCCATTGTGTAGAGTTCTTTCTATTTATTTTTCAAATCTCTCTTACATCTTCTTTATCTCTTTCACTGTCTCCCATGTAGATCTATATTATTGATGTTAGCATTGCTTACGTAGATCTGCGCATAAATTCTAATAATCTCAAATTTGGTAGGAGAGGCTTGGTAGGCCTAGCATGAGAGAACATGTCTGTAAGAATAACAAGTGGTACGTGAGACTTTTCTTCCATCGTGTAGACATTGCAATGCTGAATACATGCAGTATGTACCAGATCAAGACGAGCAACCGATTGCCATGTGCCCACTTCAGTTTGTCATCAGACAAATAATACAGAAATACCAGATCACAACACCTGCACTGCACAACATACTCACCACCATACTGATCATCGCTAAATGCCCTCTCGTTTGAAGTACATATGGTGATTACTTCCTAACTACATTTCCTGCTACAGGCAAGAAGAAATAGGCTCAAAAGAGATGTTATGTCTGTGCATACACGCCATGGGGCCCAGCAAAGTGCAGGGACACACTTTGTGTAGAGAGTGTAAAACACTGCTGTGTTTGGAGGTGTGTTGAAGGGCTTCTACAGACAGCAACAGTTCTAGAAACATGACCAATGCCTGTGTATGTTAGAACAGTAGTAATGTGAAGCAATTGAACATGTGCATGTGTATAATAGTTTTTTAAACAACATAGGTTTTAATTTCGGGGATTGCGACAGTGAAAAGGTTAATAAACCCCCATCATTCATTTGCTCACATCATTCATGTCTCCCTTCACTCTTTATTCTGAAAGAATGTAGATATAGCTTTGTCGCTCTTCATGTTGAAAATTCTTTTCTAAAGCTGGGGAATAATTTTCTCATTCTTTTATTATACATATACTGAACTTGAAAGAAAATTTACATTTACACTGTGGTGGCCAAAACTGTACAGTGTACCCCCAAGTAATATCTCATGAGGTTAAGAAAAAGCTGAAAGTTGATCTTTTTGCAATACCCTTATCCTAATTCCCTGTTGACTTTGTTTTTGGCATTTGTGTATTTTTTTTTTTTTTTTTTTTTTACTTCAGATCCCTGCTAACTATGACTTCTAGTTTCTTTTCACATTTGACTCGCTAATATTAGATATTGATTTTCTTGTAGCCGTCTTGAGTCTTTGTTGGAATATTTTACTCGCATTAAAAGAATGCCACATCAAATATAATTTACTAATATGTATTGTTATTAACTCCTCTTCCAATATCATTTATAAATATGGTGAGCAAAGGTTCCAGAACAAGAGGCCCAAGGCAAAAATCCTTGATAAAAAAGCTTCACTCTGAATTTACTACTTATGCTCATCCTCTTGTTTCCTTTCTGATATAAATGCTTTGATCTAATTTCAGAATGTTTCTTCAGTACCATTTGTCTCTACCTTTCCAATAACTCTCTCATGTGGAACAGTGCCAAACGCTTGCATAAAGGTATAAAAAATTTCATCTTTAACATAGTACAAATGCATTACGCTCTAAAAATAAGGGTGATTTGGTTAAATCCCTCCTAAGCTGTTCCAGTTGTCAAATGCCACACATGACAGGAGTGTCCCACTTGTCTTGAATATTTAGTTGCTTGTGTAAATTTATTTAGTAACTACTTGATGCATGAAGAAGTTGCAAAGATAGGGATGCATGCAAGGAGAGGAATGTATGGAGGAATGTTTAGTGTTCTGGTAGTAGAGGAATATTTGGTGTTATGGAAGGAGGAATGTTTGGTGTTATGGAAAGAGAGGATTGTTTGGTGTTATGGAAGGAGAGGAATGCATGGAGGAGTATGAATTAGACACTTGCAATATTTGGGTATCTTTATTTTGGAAACGTTTCATCAACCAATGGCATCCTCAGTCCAGTACACAGAAGAATGGTTGAAGATCAGAAGGAGTTGGACGTAATCAGTCCCTCAGCCTGGAGTCAATGTGATAAGTCCTTTAATCTTGATTAGTACAGCATATGTATGGAAAAGCTTGTATACTGTAGACAGGTGAGGTGAAACAGTCATAGGCAGTGTCACCTTGGACAAATCCACAGGTGGAAGTGGGTCATGCCTATAGATCAGGCAAGCATAGAATTCCCTGTATCAGGATCCCAAGATATTGCTGTCTGACAGAAAAATTAGATAGATCTTTCAGGGAACTGCCAGGATGAAGAATTAGACACTTGGGTATCTATTGTGGAAACATTTTGTCATCCAGTGGCTTCCTTAGTCCAATACAGAGAAGAATGGTTGAAGATCAGAATGTGTTTGAGGTAGTCAGTCCCTCAGCCTGGAGTTGATGTGATTTGACTATGGAAGTCACAGGTTGATGAAGTGTTTCCACAATAAAGATATCAAAGTGTTATACATGTCTCTAATTCATCATCCTACCAGTTCTCTGAACCATTTGTCTACATTCCTGTCAGACACAGAAAATAAAAAATGCATGTAAAAACCTAAAGAGATTGAGGAAATAAGAAAATTCAGTATTTCACACCAGCTTTGTCCCTTGGCATTTGCATCCCCCCTGCACACACCTTTTCTCTATCATTTAGCAGTGCATCATCCATTTGGTTTAGTGTTTATTTTTTTTTGTGACTAGTAATAAACAGTAAAAGCATATGGCAACATTGTATAGAAAAATCATAAACTGAGACAGGATAAAAGACAGCTATGATTAACACTTGCTAAGATCAAGCATATAATAGAATTGTTAAAAAAAAAAGTCACAATGCTAGTAAGGAGACAAGAAGACTTAAGTTTTCTCAGTTTGACAATACCTTGAAAGAAGACAAAAAATATAAGATTTAATAGACACTGCCAGAAAGCTGAATGGTGTAAAATGTGACGAAGAATGTGCAGTTTTTTCTACAGAGTAATATTTTTTAAAACTAGGAATAGTTACTAAAGGAAATGAGTGTTTAAAAATAGTAAAAATTTAGGTATTGTAACTAATAAGCATTAAAATATGTGTTTACTAAATGGGAATACAGTACACTACACTGTTGGTTGTAGCTTTGTTGTGAGAAGGCAGCTATATGCACTATGTTGAAGAGAGCAGTACTATATGTAGAACAATTTTGAATAAAGAGAAACCATAAAATTGAGCTTAAGTGAAAAAGCTTGAGTAAAAGAATGCAATGTGCTTTTCATTTTATTACTGTACTTTTTTCATTATTAATTTTATGTAGAAATTTACAAAATAAGATGCTATATTAGTTTGTATAAAACACTGAACTATGGTGTTTTTAAAGTGTATTTTCATTGAAAAATTTATTGTATCTGTTATGGTCACTGTCTTGTTTATGTCTGTGTGTGCTCTTTGACAGTGGAACTAATACCTACTTTTAAAATGTTCTTTTCTGTAAGCATAATACTGTAATTATAATTTATAACAATTCTAACAACATACTATGATCAAACAGGTGTAGTTCTGGTTATATAGGGTTTCTTTGATACTTGCGAAGAAGTATGTTTAGTCAAAGACATTTGGTTTGCTTTGGTGACCCATCTTCTGTACTTATATTTACCATGATAAAAGTGTTGCTTTTACTTTTGCTTCTGTTGGTAGCTAAGGAATTCCTAATAAGCAAGCTTGTAAGTTACTTACATTTACAGTATGACTAATTTTCTTTCACACTGCAAGACTATGCTGTATCTGAAAATGAAATTTGATAGTCAAAACTCATTTATCTGAAACTCTTTTACAAGAGATGTACTGGTTCCTGCTCATTGAAAATTAATCATAAACCCTTCTCTCCTCTGGAGAGAATTGCTGTCATTGTTTTTGCATTACATACTCAAAATATCTTTTCTAAAATAGGAAGCTCTTGGTTCTGATCATTTCAGATGAGTGAGGTATGACTGTACTGTGTTAACCAAAATTATTTAATCTCAATATAGTACTAACACTCTTATATTAAATGCAGTACTTACTGTAAGCTGGAATCACAGAGGAAAAAATCATTGAATGCAATTTACTGTTCTTTCTAAAGCTTGAGAAACAATCTTCGTTTTTCAGAGTGTCTACACTTATCAATTGAGTTTGGTGCTGCTCTTCCCTCGTCACCAGTTGCTGATGATCTCAGTCTGTTTGCGGTCAGTTCCCCAAGTCTGCTTTCAAACCTTGTGGTTCCTCTCCTGTATTGATTTTGGTATCCAAATGCCCTTCCCCACTTCTCTATGCTAAATGTCATCTCATAAAAAAAACTATCAACTGCACACCGGAAATCCTGCTCTTTCTCACCCCTTCTGTATGTCATGTAGGAGTTGGTTCAGCACTCTTGGCACTGCTGCATCTCCATCTTCCGTAGTTGTGATATAATCGGGTCTATTAATAAGTGATACTGCAAAAAATATATATCGGTAAAGAAGAGAGTCAATGCAATGGCTTCTGTTGGTCACTGCTGTGCACTATACCCTTTACTGTGTAAATAACTTATTTTTAATATACCATACTGTATTACAGCCCAAGCACAAGGCACTTTTTACTTGGTTTAGTCTTCCCAGGGATAATGTCAGGAGCTTCTTGATGATACATTTTCTCCATATATATTTATATTGTACATTATCTGTATACACATTTATTTTTATATTGTACTATATGTCGAAAACATGGTATGGTATAAGAATTGGGTAATTGTTTTCAGTACCTTTATTAGTTTTAAGCACTGCAAAGTGAAGCTGTTATTGTTACAATGAAATTCCAACTTTTGGGAAAACTAAATATGATTTTTGAGTAAAATTATGTATTCAGTCTTGCAGCCTCTGGGTGCACTGACTGAAAATATACACCGTGGTCTATTACTTCCATTATTATGAATTATACATTACTGTTTACATTTTCTTTCAGCTACTGGGAATCATGTGCTTAAGTAGAGGTCAAGTAAGGGAGTAATAAGTAAGTAGTAAGGGAAAGTAATAAGTAAGTAGTAAGGGAGAAGAATGAGTGAATAAAAATAAGGGAGAGTAATGAGTCAATAGTAAGAAAGAGGAGCACATAATGCTCATTAATACTGCCCACCAGTTGTAAATGTATACATATAGATTTTCCAATTGATTTTATGTAAATTTGTCCAGAGGAAATAGTCATAAAAGCAAACATGTGCTAGGTAATGCTGAAGGGCTATTTACAAGGCAGATTTTTTTTATAAAAGCTAGCAGAAATTTTAACTATTGTAATATGTAAGGAAGTCGCTTATTCCTTGTGTCAGCTTGAAAATAATCGAGATTAACTGGAAGTTTATCTTGGTCTCTTGTCGTACAGACATAGGATCCTAATTACAATATATAACTATTGTTATCGTGTGATGGCTGCATTCAGTAGAATGTGGGATTTAACAGATTGTTTCTCTTAGCCTGTTTCGATGGCTTTTGGAGGATTTGATTGACATTTGTTGCTGGCAGTTAGAAAAAAGATAAAGATTTATTTCTTTGTAAAGGTTACAATGTGTAGTGTTTGGAATTATTCTGTTGTCCCCAGTTAGTGTTTGGAATTATTTTGTTGCTACCAGTTAGGGCAAAAACCATAAGTAGCAAGCATTGCAGATCTTATTGGTTGCCTTTATCCATTGTACAGATGTCACTCTCTTAAAGCTCTTTGAAAATGTATTTTGTTAATATCTGAAGTACGTAATTGAGTTAAAGAAAAGTCTTACGTGAGTGTCTTAGATATTTATGGGATTTGGAAAATATAATGAATCTCGTTATAACAGTAATAATGTTCCACTACTTTACTTTTAAATTTGTTGATCTTATTTGCATGATTCCCTTACTTGACATTTAAGGAACTATTTAATAAATGAATTTTGTATTTTTGGTATTAAATATTATATAAAATCTTAAAAAAAAAAAAACTTACTGTACATGGAATAATATATTTATATTGATTAGTGAATAATTTTTATATAGTAAATATTTTGCTGTGGGAGACAAGTTTTTATTTAGTGTGGGTTTTAGCACCTAAATTGATTTTAATGATAATAATATTCTTTAGTGTTAATTCTGTAAGAATTATTAGTGTACTTTTTATTTTGAGAAATATGATAAGTTGGTATACTAATTTGTTAATGGCTGATAATCGTGTATTTTGATATTTTGTAGCCTGTACTATATATGATGCAGTAGTTTTTCTTTTTCCACAGTAGCGATTTTCCATCAAGGTATGATGATTCTAGAGGAAAGAGGAGCATTTACCATCATTCATTTAATAGCTGTCTTGCCAAAAATATCCAGGCATCACAATCCATATTACATTCTGAACTACAACATCCCTCGCCTACTATCAGAGTGCAAGCACTGTACTTCTCACCTCCAGAACTCAAGTCCATTCACTATTTTTAAATTAAATATTTTATTTTACGCTTGGTTTTTACAGTTTGTGTTGATACCTCTTAAATTTTATAGTATATTTTATTGTGAAAATAATCATCTACATATATTGTTTTTCTTATTCTGTTACTGTCAGCTTCTCAATTGCTGTCTCTTGAAAAATACACATGTTGTTTAGGGCAGAAGTATCACAGAGTAGGGTGTAAATGTTCATGTAAAGTCATTCATGTATCTCTCATTTGATTTAAAGTTTAGACTTCAGGATTAAGCCGTCAGTGGATTTACCTACATGTATTATTACCGTACATTCATGAGGGGTTGGCCCCTAGACCCATAGGGGTCCTACAGCACTTGAGGAAATGGGAAGCAATCAGGTTGGATCCAAGGAAGTGGAAGACATGTCCAGTTCCATGCATCAAGAGCCCTTCATCAGCATCAAGGAATCTCTCTCTTGAAGGGTGAAGATATTGACAATTCAAGAGCAAAAATTCTTCTAAATAGGATGCAAGTAAATCAAACTAAAATTGGTCAGCACATTGCATAAACATTACTTCTTGTTCATGATTGCTTACATAGAGGTTTTGCATTCCAAATCCCTACTTCAATAATATGTTTCTTCAGAATATTGTTTTTCTTTTGCTATAGTGACACAAGAAAGTGTAGAGAGGTAGTTCAGAGAGGAAACCTCTGGTAATGTGGTAATTACTTTCATCTTTGTTAGCCCTTTGAGTCCTCTTAAGACGGTAAAGTATTGCGGATGTGATATTTTCATCAACATGTATTATTTTTTTAATTATGAATTGTTTATTAATGATAAAATGGGTGTTTGAAACTACTCCACTGCTAGTGTTCAGCATCTTACAAAGTTCTAAAACATTCCTTTAGCCATCTACTAGCAAAGGAAATGGTATGAGTCCAATCCATTCTTTCAAGCGGTGCCTTGTACCATGCTGCAAGAGTAAATCCCTTAAGGAGGTGGAAAGGGTTTCCTTTAGGCTGGCAAAGAGCTCTTGATCCAAGGAATTGGGGTTACCTTCCCTTCAAATAAACCTAATTACCTCTCACTATCCCTGTATAGAGTAAATTTAGCATCAATTTGATGTTCACAGAACTTCAGTCCCTAATGTATGAAGCACATTAGTTGTTTCTCTAAAGACTAGTATAATATGGTTTCTGGCAAAACATTGAAGATAGACTTTTATGAAGCTGCCTCTGTACAGTACATTCTAAAAAAAAAAAAAAAAAAAATGGAAGCCTACCAACCCTTATATCAGGCAAGTTCTGTTGTTTGTTAGTGACATCTAGATCTTCAAAATGAAGAGAACAGTGGTCAATGTTTATAACACCTCATGCATTTTTGAGATCAAGGTTTATTACACTCAGACATTAAAAGGTTATATTAGTATCTACCTTAATATCTTAAGGTATCAACATCATTAATATATTGGCTGCAATAGTGAAGGGGAGTGATGCTCAATCTCAGGTGCCAAGATAGGAGGCACCACTGATGCTCAGGCTCTCACAGAAAGTAATAGTCATGACATTAGTGAAACTGATGCATCAGAATACTAGCCAATGGCAGCAATTATATAAGTGCTGTTTTTCTAGTCAGTCTCGCTTCACTTCCAATGTCTGTATGTTTTTGCTTATCTTACCATCTTCCATTTAGTTTACTGTACCTTGCAGGGTGCTCTACAGCGTATTTTATGTACAAATATATTCGCAAGAAAGCACTAAACTATACACACTGTATTGCTGCATTGTATCCTAAAACAATTAAATAGTACTGTACTATAAGGTGTATAAAATACTTTATTATTCATTATATGCCATGTTGGTTTTAAAATGCTTATTGCCTTTTAATTTTTTCTTAATTTTTATTAGTAACCCCTTTTTGACCATGTATTTATACATGGAGATTGTATATTGCCTGAAGCAGGGTGACCCAAAAAGAAAGAAAATCCCAAAAAGAAAATACTTTCATCATCATTCAACACTTTCACCTCACTCACACATAATCACTGTTTTTGCAGAGGTGTTCAGAATACAACAGTTTAGAAGCATATATGTATAAAGATACACAACATATCCCTCCAAACTGCCAATATCCCAAATCCCTCCTTTAAAGTGCAGGCATTGTACTTCCCATTTCCAGGACTCGAGTCTGGTTATATAAAAATAACCAGTTTCCCTGAATCCCTTCACTAAATATTACCCTACTCATGTATACAGTATTCATGTATACATGTATATATATTCATGTATACAGTATTTTACTACTGAGTGTTACTGGAATTTTGCCATATGACTGTGATTCGTGTACTCATTGTTTCAGTGTTAAATTAGACTTTCACACCAAGGATTTTGTCAGCAAAGAAATTTGGCCATTTCTAAGAGAAAAAATCTGTAAACTGAATAATGTGATTGTGAATCAGTGACAAGAAATAAGCAACAACAAATGTAAATATATGCTTATACTCTAGTTGCATATATTAGATGCTCAGACTGTTACAGCAATTAGCTAAATTGTGATGTTTGTGGACTTCTGGAAAGACAGCTGGAGAATGAATAATGATGAATTTGATTCCTCCTTTGGGTCACTATTTATGTAGAAAATTACCAGTGTTAAAAACTGACTAGAAGCACACCAGTGTTAAGGTTAATATAGAATACTAAAATGTTATGATTATATCCATCTTGTACTGTGTGTTATCTCTCTCTCTCTCTCTCTTTATCTTTTTGTTTTTCTCTATCTCTTTTTCTCTGTTAACTTTGTCTCTTTAGTTTTCTCTTTTTTTTTTTATCTTTCTTTTTCTCATTCTATTTTCTTCTTTTTTCTTCCTTTTTCTTCTTGTTTTTCTTTTTTCTCTTTTTTTTCTCTTACTCTTCCATTAAATCTGCATTCTTTCTGCTTTAATTTTTTTCCGAATTTGGCTATAATAATAATACACGTAGTTGGTTTTACTAATATTCTTGGACGATTGGATGTAGTCATTCAGTGTTGTACAAAATGCTCTGTCGTAAGTAAATATTGAAGCTCAGAGATGTATTATTTTGAGGTCAAATTTAATATAAAATGTTTCATAACATTAAATGCATTACACAGCATTATTTTTGTGTATAGATGGTTTATGTAATATTAAAGGTGTATGTACTTATCTGCAATGTCAGGCAGTGTAATTTCATTTGCTAGCAAATCATAATGACATTTTGATCAATGCTTCCAAATGCAGACTTTAGCTTTTGTGTCTTCCTTTTCAAGCATCTTCCACTTGTAGATTTATTTCTAAATCTCTGCAGTAGCTTTAGTTATGACAGACTTAAAACACACACATTAATATTGTTGAGAAGGCATGGTAATTTTATTCAGTTACCCAAGACTTTACTGTTTGAATACATTCTTGCAGATTTTAAGTGAATTTATCATGTTAAGAGAAAGGTAATGTTTTGTAAAGTTTATTTTTTTACTTATGCACAATAGAATAAAATCAGATGTACTGTGCTGCATGATAATATTTGTAATTATAATATGTTAATAAAGGATTAAATACAATATAATGTTTATTTTAAATAACCAAAAATACTGTTTAAAGACCTAAGAACAACATTGTATAATGCAAATTTAATAAATGAGGAATAAATTTATGTAAAAAATTAATTTGCAGTTTGTATGTAATCTGAAAAACTTTGAAGTTTACACCTCTCTTTGGGTAGTCACCTTTTTGTGAAAGAGACTTCAGGCTTTGTTGATGATTTCCAATGCACTGGTTCAGGATTTCTCACATGAGAGTGGTGTGGCCATGGAGACTACACGCTGCACATGTGTGTGTTGCACATGGAGAGCTGTATACTCCTTGTTTCTACTCAAAAGTTAAGGCTGGTTCTGCAGTTGGTTGTCCCTTTAAGTGGGGGTAACAATGCTGGTGAAGTGCTCTTCATCCAAAGAATTAGAGCTACACTGCCCTCCCTTGGCTCAAACCTAATTGCCTACCTTCCCTTAAGTAATGAAGACCAATATGGGTTTAACACTTCACCATGAACATAATACATAACAAGAAAGGTACCTTGATGCCAAGAAAGGTCTGTTGATCCAAGCAATTGAATCTAAGCTCTTCCTTGAATTGCTGTATGACCCTTGTGGGTTTAGCACTTAGTTTTGATTGTAAAATAATACTTCTTGAATCAAATCTGATTGCCCCTCATTTCTTTATGACCTCTACAGGCTTAACTCTCCCCCATGAATGTAATAACAACAAAGTAGTGGCTTTGAGTACAGAAACAAGCTAACAAACAAATTCATTTAGCATTCTAAATGACCCAGTAACCACTTTCTTCAGGTCAAGAACTTTCAAAGGAGGGTGCGATGAATCTGACAAAGGACTGTTGATGCAAGTAATTAAATTACTCTCCTCTTCTTCAGATCACAGAGCTGTATAGCCCTTGTGGCTTAGTGCTTCTTTTTGATTATAATAATAATAATAATTCTTCAGATCAAACCTGATTACCTCCCCACCACCATTTCCCAGGTGTTGTATGACTCTCAACTGGCTGAATGCTTCCCCATGAATATAATCAGTTAATAAATCTTAGAAAATCTACATTAAAGGTGGGGCTTTCCAAATAAACATGGATATAAGGACACAACACAATAGGATTTAGTGAAAGACATAATGTATATGCAGATCAAATTTTCAGTGTGACATTTTGCTTTGTGTACAGCTTATCAAGACTTCAGAGCTCTACATAAGTGATATGTCATCACATTAAGAAACTGATCTGTAGAGCATGATGTCAAGGTGCTTAATGAGAAGCAGCAGTTAGTCAGTGTGCTTGAAAAATATCAAGTCTGGTGTAACCAATGTCCACTCACTAAAGTTTCAATTCCTTCAGTTAACAGTAGAAATGAATGAAGAATTTCAGAAACCCAGGTGAAGCTGAAGTGAAAAATAACCTGTCCCTTGAAGACAATTGAGAAGGGGTGCCTTTTTGATGGTGAACTTGATTCAGAAATTTTGAAGGTATACTTCGCAGCAGTGTTTCCGGACAGCGTCGTGCGGGGGCATTTACTATCTTCAGCTAGCATTTTTACTGCTGAACTGTATGCCATTCTTGCAGCACTTATTCGTATCGCATCTACTGTATGCCTGTGTCATCATTTGTAGTAGTCTCAGACTCCCTTAGTGCTCTACAGGCTATACGAAAATTTGATACATCTCATCCCCTAGTTCTCCGTATCCAACTTTGGCTACGCCGTATCTCTACCAAACATAAAGATATTGTTTTTTGTTGGGTCCCTGGTCATGTCGACGTACAGGGCAATGAACAGGCAGACACTGCTGCGCGGTCAGCAGTACATGACCTACCAATTTCCTATCGAGGTGTTCCATTTCTGGACTATTTTGCTGCAATAGCTACCCACCTTCGCACCCGTTGGCAGCAACGTTGGTCAACTCTGCTCGGTAACAAACTTCATTCTATTAAACCGAGCATAGGTTACTGGCCGTCTTCTTGTCATCAGTGCCGAGGTTGGGAGACCACTCTCTCCCGCCTTCGCATTGGCCACACTCGTCTTACTCATGGGTATCTCATGGAGGGGCACCCTGTTCCTCTCTGTGAGCAGTGTCAAGTTCCAGTATCGATTAGCCACATTCTGTTAGACTGCCCTCTCTATCAACGAGCACGCAGAATTTACCTCCAACGTCGTCTTCGTTCTACTACTCTCTCTTTACCTTCCCTTCTTGCTGATGGACCCTCCTTTAATCCTGACTCTCTCATTGACTTCTTGACAACGACTGATTTACTCCACAAACTCTGATGATACTTTTCGCACTCCCCTCAACCCTTTCTAGTTCAGTCTCTTGCTGCCCTTTACCCTTTCACCATCCACTACCCCGCTGTCATCCGTAACCTATTACTCATCCATCTCCCTTTTGCCACCTGATGCCCTCGCTTCCTGCCCTGCAGCGCTGTATAGTCCTTGTGGCTTAGTACACAGTGTGTACGTTAGGCCCATACTGGAGTATGCAGTGCCAGTTTGGAACCTTCACCTAGCCAAGCATGTAAGGAAACTAGAGAAAGTGCAAAGGTTTGCAAAAAGACTAGTCCCGGAGCTAAGGGGAATGTCCTACGAGGAGAGGTTAAGGGATTCAACCTGAAAACAATAGAAGACAGAAGAGATAGGGGGGATATGAAAACGATATATAAAATACTGAGAGAAATCGACAAGGTGGACAGAGACAGGATGTTCCAGAGATGAGACACAGCAACAAGGGGTCACAGTTGGAAGTTGAAGACTCAGATGAATCACAGGGATGTTAGGAAGTATTTTTTCAGTCACAGAGTTGTCAGGAACTGGAATAGTCTGGGAAGTGATGTAGGGGAGGCAGGATCCATACATAGCTTAAAGAAGAGATTCACAGCTCCTGGCCCCGCCTCTTCACTGGCCGCTTCTAGGTCACTCTTCCTGCTCCATGAGCTTTATACCTGGAGTAACTCTCTCCAGGTATAAAGCTCATGGAGCAGGAAGTGACCTAATAGAGGCCAATGAAGAGGCAGGGCCAGGAGCTGTGAATCGACCCCTGCAACCACAACTAGGCAAGTACACACAGAGAGAGAGAAGGGACCTAGTAGCGACCAGCGAATAGGCGGGGCCACGAGCTGTGACTCGACCAATGCAACCACATATAGGTGAGTACACACACAAACTCTCTCACTCTCTTTCTTTCTCTCTCTCTCTCTCTCTCTCTCTCTCTCCTCTCTCTCTCTCTCTCTCTCTCTCTCTCTCTCTCTCTCTCTCTCTCTCTCTCTCTCTCTCTCTCTCTCTCTCTCTTCTCTCTCTCTCCACTGCTCCGCTGTTATCCGTAACCTATTACTCATCTACCTCCCTTTTGCCACCTGATGCCCTCGCTTCCTTCCTGCCCTGCAGCGCTGTATAGCCCTTGTGGCTTAGCGCTTCTTTTTGATTACAATAATAATAATCTCACTCTCTCTCTCTCTCTCTCTCTCCAACCTGCTAGAAGGAAACTTAAAAGTTCCCAGCTCATATATGACCTTTGCGAAATCAACAGCTAAAACTGTATTTACAGTATCGCTTAATGTATACCAATGGATTATTTTTTGGTTGATAAAATATTAATTTTATATCTCTAGATCAGAGTATGCACTGAGAAGTGTTTATATATATATATAATATATATTATATATAATATATATATATATATATATTATATAAAATAATATATATTATATATATATATATATATATATATTATATTATATATATATATATATATATATATATATATATATATATATAATATTACAACTATCAGTGTATTCACATAGAGTTTACTCGAGTATGGAACTCATTTGTACAGCATAATGATGTCAACGGAAAAGTCTTGATCAAAAAAAAGGGGGCCCCACGAGGCTCAACTTCATCCTTTTTCCCTACTTGTATGCCCTCATAACAAAAAAAATTTTTTTTTCAAGAGCTGAGTGGGTTAAAGCTTTTAAACTTCCCAATAAATTTTAGGAACCCTTTAAACCTGTAAAAGCTTGGTCAATAAAGCGGGGATCCTTAAAAACCTTGTAAAAAACCCTGTGTAAAAAAAAAAAATCACATTGTAGTAAATTAGTAAACAGGGGCAATTAGCCCTTGTAACCCCTCTAATGTTACTACCCCCAGAAAATATGCCTAAGTTGTTTTTCTTATTTTTTAAAAGTTTAGACTTTAAGTAAAAGTGGGTACACAGTACACGCGACTTACCAGGTCCTTTCTTACGTTTGTCCCATTGTTGGGAAAACTTAAACCCAAAAGACCCCAAGTACAAAAGGGTAGGCTTTTTAAAAATACAAACCAACTAAAAAAACTCGAGATAAAAATCATCTTAATTTCAGGGGGAAAACAAGTTTTTCTTCAGAGGTTTATTTCCTTCTTTTAACTAAGTTTTTTATTCAAAAAAAAAAAAGGTTTTCCTTTTGGAAAAGAACATACCTGTGGCTAGATTATTTTGTATTTACCTAAGGGAAAACCTAAAAACGAAGATGGGAAAAGTAACTAATGAAGTTCCCTTTAAGGGAAAAAGGGGACATAAGTTTTTTGGATGGGAAATTTTTAAAAGGTATTGTTATTTGGGGGGTTTTAAAAATTTCGATGTACCACATTTTCGGGCTTGTGGTGTGAATTTCCCTTTAAGGGGCGGAAGAGGGGGCCCTTTGGGATACTGGTAAAAAGGGTTTACTGGGAGGGGGAAATTCCGGGGGGGGGAACGCCCCCGCGGCCCGGTTTTTGACCAGGCCCCCCTGGTGGATCGAGCCTGGGTCAACCAGGCTGTTTTCTGCTGGGGTGCACGCAAACCAACGTAAAGAGCCACAGCCCGGGGTTGGGGAAAGAAAAAATTTTGTTCGGATTTTTAACCCCCGGGGGTTAGCCACCCAGGAAACCCAAGAAAGTCAGTGCGCCCCAGGACGTCTAATTATTTTTTCCCTTGGGGTCCTTAAAACTTTTTCCCCCCGGATGCGACCCCCCACCCAGGTACCTATTTGCTGCTAGGTGAACAGGACAATAGGTGTAAGGAAACGTGTCGAAATGTTTCCACCCGCCGGGAATCGAACCCGGGCCCTCCGTGTGTGAAGCGGGAGCTTTAGCCACCAGGCCACCGGAACCGACTTTAGGTGCTTGTCCAGTGCCAGCTGGAAGACTGCCAGGGGTCTGTTGGTAATCCCCCTTATGTATGCTGGGAGGCAGTTGAACAGTCTCGGGCCCCTGACACTTATTGTATGGTCTCTTAACGTGCTAGTGATACCCCTGCTTTTCATTGGGGGAATGTTGCATCGTCTGCCAAGTCTTTTGCTTTCGTAGTGAGTGATTTTCGTGTGCAAGTTCGGTACTAGTCCCTCTAGGATTTTCCAGGTGTATATAATCATGTATCTCTCCCGCTTGCGTTCCAGGAATCTTGATCCAAGGAACATAAGCTACACTATAATATCAAGCCTGATTATCTCCCATTCCCTAGCTGCTATATGAACCCAAGAGGTTTAGCACTTCACCATGATAATGATTGTCATAAGTCTGAAGTTATGCGTTCCATTACTGAGGTAAGACATTGCGTGCATGTGTCAAGTATGAAGTTATGTGATGATGATGGAGGTGAGGTAGCAGCCAGAGAAAGACGCTAGCTGCTGCTATTGATTCTTGCTGCTACACACCACCCGCGCCCATCCTTAACTCAACAACTATACCTAAAAAAAAATAACTTTTCCTTCCTTTAAAACGATTTTATCGCCAAAAAACTAATCGACTGCAGTAATTGGGAGAGTGTGACAATAACTACTAAAAGAGGGAAGGCTACAATAAACTTGAGACTAGTGAGAGGTCAAATGTTACGCCTGCGCTCTGAGAATTATAACGTGGGGAGGCAAGAGTTCTGCTGTGTGATCCACTCACCCCTTACTCTAACGGGCTCGGTTCCCGCTCCTCACCTATTTTATTCTATTAGCAGTGCTTCCTCGGTCATTACGGTGGTGTTGGGGAGGACTGTGCGGATGTCTGGGTGTGGGTGAGGTAGAATGATACAATAAGAAACGAAAATTTGCCTTGGCTTCACCTCAGGTCGTATCGACCGGCAGTCTCCTGAAACCTGACTGTCGGGAAAGGATTTAAGAGAAAACTCAAACCACATTACATCATCTGTTATTAAGTCATTGCGACAGTTCTATCAATGCCCCGAAGTGGCAAGTCATAGCAGAAATACCTTTCGCTGTGAAAGTCAGGTTATTGTTAGACTATGGATTCTATACGAAACGATAACTACCAAGGTTACACCATGGAGCAGCAGCAGCAACAAACTCAATTTTATACAGACCCTGCTGATCAATCCCAGGGCCCAGGAGCTATAAAGTCACCACCCATGATCCCAGGGGCCCGCCCCTACGTGGACCCTAATGCCACAGGCGAGGTTGACCCCTCAGCCTACCCTGAACCCAAAGATGCTACCCATAAAATCCGCGGCCGCTCTGATTTCTTAGACATGTTCTGTAATAACGTTAATCAGGAATTGCTTATCGCCAAGACCTTCTATTTCTTCTTTTTCGCTGCCTTCGGTTGTCTGTTTCCCCTGATGGCTGTCTATTTCAAACAGATGGGGATGAATCCTTTACAGACGGGTATACTCATCGGCATCAGACCATTCGTAGAGTTTATTGCAGCACCCTTCTGGGGTTCCATGGCTGACAGGTGAGAGACACTTGACAACATCAAACCACCTCCCTATATTATCGATGATCATCACCGTTGTTCCTTTCTTTTTCTTCTGTATATGTTTACATTGTCAATTGATATATACAAAACAACTGTATTGGGTAAATCCTGACCCTGATTTATTTTGTAATTTTCTACAAAGAATCTTCTAATGCATTTTCATTAATCACATTTTCTTTGGATATTTTCAATTGTTGATACATACTTTACACTTAAAAAAAATATCAAAACGAATATATGCCGCCATGTAGGCAGTACATGGGCGTAATGAGGACTGGTTTGGGGTCGGGTGGCGGGTTAGGTTAGGTAGGTTCATCAGGAAATTGGACAAGCACTTCCTGACACGGGTCTAGTCAAAAGATGACCCGTAGCTGGAACTTTTGGTCATCTGACTGAGGCCTTTCCCTGACTTTCCGGGCCACTTCTTTAAAAAAAAATGTAGTTATAATTATAACCATTGAATGATTATTTTCCGGGTGGCGGGGACAGCAGAGACCCTTGTAACTGTCTACAGATAATCTATGTAGCGTCGCATTCTACGCCTCCAGCCATTCTCATACCCTTTACGACAGTCGCTAGCAGGTGTTTCTCCTAGGGGCACCTAGAAGTAAGCCTTCATCCTAGGGAACAATCAAACTGTAGCAAGACTTCTAGGGCACAATCAATAGACCTTCCTCCGACACAATCAATAGTAGGCCTTCCTCCTCGAGCTCACAATCAACGGTAGGCTTTCTTCCTAGGATATAGTCATGTCGTCTCCGGGACATAATCAATAAACGATTTCCTCCTAGGTCACAACATTAGGGACTTCCTCCTAAGTCACTCAATCAATAGTAGGCCTTCCTCCTAGATCACACAATCAATAGGCCTTTATCTTAGGGCACACATTCAATAGGTTTTCCTATTTCAGCCGCATACATTAATAGGTCTACATATCCCCCCCCCCACAGCCTGGCAACAGTTTTTACCATATTCAGTCATCTTTAACATACTCTGCCCCTCTGGAGACAAATGATAATCAATACCGACACGATGGAATCAGAGAAAGATGTAGTATAATGCATCCTATATTGACGACTGAATAGCCAGTGAAGATTATATTCCTGACAGTTCTGAACCTACTTTTTATAATGAAGCTGAGGTTCTCACGTAGAATTTCATTGTATATATAAACCTTTTACGTGTTCAGGTTCCATAAGGGCAAGATGATGCTGCTGTGTTCGGTGGGATCATGGATCCTCTTCACACTCGCCATAGGATTCATCCAGCCTCCAGCTACTTCCTGCGTCGTCTTCAACGGCACTAATCACATTCTCAAGACTCCATACACTAACGTGAGTCTTGAGAAGCTCTACTATTACTCGTGTTTTTCTTGAAGCTTGATTCCCACCGTGCTGCTCGTGGGATGGTTGATGAGTGTCCCGTGGCTCAATTGTTAGCGCACTCAACTCGCAAATTGAGGTTCGTGGTTCGATCCCCGGTACGGCTGCCCCTGTTCACTTAGCAGTAAAATAGGTACCTGGGTGTTAGTCGACTGGTGTGGGTCGCATCCTGGGGACAAGATTGACCTAATTTGCCCGAATCTTAACTAGTCAAAAGTTTGCTTGTTACTCCAATATAGGAGCTTCAATAGAAACTATGTATTGTACCAAAACAAAACCATTCACAGTGCTAAATTTACGAACTGCAATGCAGTTACTTAGCCTTAATACCAATATGCTCCTTAATCTGTACCAATATAGAGTTTTGAATTAATCTTAGTCTGCCCGAAATGCCTAGTCATGCTAGGTGTGATAGTGGCCCTCTCTGTAATTAGTTTTATATAATATGTAAACCACACAGTGTAATCTTTATAGAGAATAAGCTTTGATTTGATTTGATAACAAGGAGCTTTCTATATAGTAGGTCTATATACGTTGTACATATACCTGTAGAAATAGATAATAATAATAATAATATAATAATAATAATAATAATAATAATAATAATAATAATTATTATTATTATTATTATTATTATTATTATTATTATTATTATTATTATTATTATATAGCGTCCTATCTCACATTTGAGGGACCAGGGATCTCTCCCCGCTCCTCGGTTTGCGTGCGGCCAGCAGTAACAGCCTGGTTGATCAGGTCCTGGTCCGCCATGAGGCCTGGTCATGGACTGGGCCGCGGGGGCGTTGACCCTCGAAACATCCTCCAGGTATACTAAAGGCACTAACGTAGGGTGAAGACGGTATGGACTTGGAAAGCTTTGTCTTGACCTAACTGACTTAACGATGCCATTTCACACTCCTTTTACTTTTAATTATTAAAATCAAGGGGAAGCGCTAAACCCGGAGGATTATACAGCGCCTGGGGGGGTGTGGAAGGCATTCAGGCTTAATTCGGGGAACTGGAGCACAGATCCAATTCCCTAAATCAAGAGCCCCTCACCAACATCAAGACTCCTTTTACGAAAACTATTTTTTTTTACGCATTTCGATTCAGACTAAGAGCAGGTTCAGCTCTGAAACTTACTCCAAGGTATACTATTTCCTCCAGAGTTTCCTTGATATTGGTGAGAGGCTCTCGATCCTAGGAATTAACTGTCCTCCCCCTCCTTAGATCGAACCTGGTTGCTTCTAATTCCACAGGCTCTGTATGGCTGTGTGTCTTCCTCTTAAATATAAGTAATAATTAATAATACGGCATACTTCCAATCCATCATGCCACCCACACCAGTCGACCAGCATCTAGGTGGCAGTACCGTTGGTCTGAATTGTTGATCAACCAGATATTTATAGTAAAATTTCAACTGAATTTTTGACCAAAGCATTTTACCACTGTTGGTTGTGGAAAATAATATTCACAGGACTACACAGTTCAGTTTAATATCCTTTACTATGCACTCCATACCCATGGTGTGGGTAGTAGTCAGAATGTGCAACAGTTAGGTATCTTTATTATGAAACGTTTCGCCTACACAGTAGGCTTCTTCAGTCAAGTACAGAAAAGTTGATAGAAGCAGAAGATACTTGAAGACGATGTAATCAGTCCATCACCCTTAAAGTTTTGAGGTGGTCAGTCCCTCAGTCTGGAGAAGAGCATTGTTCCATACTATGGAACAATGCTCTTCTCCAGACTGAGGGACTGACCACCTCAAAACTTTAAGGGTGATGGACTGATTACATCGTCTTCAAGTATCTTCTGCTTCTATCAACTTTTCTGTACTTGACTGAAGAAGCCTACTGTGTAGGCGAAACGTTTCATAATAAAGATACCTAACTGTTGCATATGTGTCTTACCTAACAACCTGTCGGTATTTTATACCATTTTAATGTTCAGTAGTCAGAATATTAGACTGGATCGCAAAGTTTTGGTAGCTAAGCAAGTTACGATGGTAATGAAATATGCTTATATCTGGTTACAGCCATAAGTTATTTATGCAGATGTGAATTAAGCCACAAAAATAATAACTAGCTTATATATGGCTTTGAATTATTTATACAAGGTATTGGCCACAATCAAACACTGCCATTCCACTGTCACTTCATGGCAAGACGCTAAGAGCCACAACATAATTAATAATATACGAATGATAATAATATTTTTATTTACTACAAGTACATGTACATGGTATACAGTCCTATCTAACGTCAATAACATACTACTATACAGAAAGCCGCTTGTTATGCTGAGCATTTCGGACAAATTAGGTCAGTTTTGTCCCAGGATGCGACCCACACCAGTCGACTAACACCCAGGTACCCATTATAAACTGATGGGTGAACAAGGACAGGAACAGGGACAGCAGGTGTCTTATGGAAACACGTCCCTAATGTTTCCAGCCGTATCGGAGGAGATTCGAACTCCGGACCTCAGTGTGTGAGCTGAGTGTGCTAATGATCGAGCTGCGGGACACCCTTAATAATTCATCTTCAAATATATTGTACTGTTTATTGCTGTATGACCCTTGTAGGTTTAGCGCTTCTTTTGTATTATAATAATAATGTGCTGTTTATCAGACAACATAGAATTTTTTTCAGCCTTAACCTGATTAGTTTAATTTCTAACTCTCTTCTCTTAACGTCCCATGCAGACTTGAAGTATATGACATTTCAACTGAAGCCGAGTTACTGCCTCTGAAATAGAATACAGTAGTATACTTAGGAGAGTGTGCTATTCCATTTCAGAGGCAGTAAGTGTGGGTTTTTGGTGAACTTATTGTGTTCGCCTGTGCTCCTCCATGGAGCACATTCATGGGAGGAGCTCTAAACCCGTAGAGGTCATACAGCGCTTGAGGGAAAATTAGGTTCTAAGAAAAGGGAAGATAGAACCATTTCTTTGGATCAAAAGCGCAGCACCAGTATCGAGGGATCTTCTTTGAGGGGTCAAGACTCAATATTGACTCAGACACAACACACATCCCAACAGAATCTCTCGCCCGCCGTCGCGTCTGCTGTATCTTCATCAAGGCGACCGTGGATTTGGACGCTACCATTTCCCAACAATTGTTAAACCCAAACGATGGCATCCCTCTGTTCCATGGTGACAAGAGTCTATCCCTCCATTTATGTCTGGCACGCTAGATTTTAATTGTTCAGACTTATACGAAAGCTGCCAGGCGCCCATTTTTACCAGGACTCAGGAAAAGTCACTGGTGAAGTGGCTCCATCATAGAGAGGGTCTGGGTTCGATTCCCAGCGAGGGTAAAAACATTGGGCGTGTTTCTTTACACCGGTTGTCTATGTTCACCCATCAGTATAATGGTACATGGGTGTTAATCGACTGGTGTGGGTCGCATCCTGGGACAAAACACGTAATTTGCCCGAAATGCTCTGTATAACAAGGGGCTTTCTATATAGTATGTCATTGACGTCAGCTAGGCCTGTATACCATGTACATGTACTTGTAGTATCTAAAGATATTATTAGATATTATATTACAACCAGGTAGGAGCCTTGATGGCGGGGAAGATCTCTTGCTTCAAAGAATTCAAATTCAAATTCAATTATTATTATTATTATAATTAAGGGGGAAGCGCTAAACCCGGAGGATTATACAGCGCCTGGGGGGGGGGATGTGGAAGGCATTCAGGCTTAATTCGGGGAACTGGAGCACAGATCCAATTCCCTAAATCAAGAGCCCCTCACCAACATCAAGGAACCTTCCTTGAGGGGAATTCAAATTCAAATTCAAAGTTTATTCTCTATAAGGATTACAATGCTGAGTTTACAGAAATTTGGTTATTGTGTGGTTTACATGTAGTAAAATAGTGATTACAGAGTGTACCACTAGAACTTATCCTTGGTAATAGATGACTTCTTGGCGGTTTTTGGGTCATTAATTATAGATTGAATTGTACAATATTAAGTTGGTTTTACAGATGACGTAGTATTCTGTTATGCAAATGGTAAAAAAAAAATAATATAATTTAACGAAACCCATCTAACTTAACAAATTAACATTAAGATTGACAACACTCTAATTACCAGAAATAATGGGGGAAAATTCCTAGGCTTATACCTTGACAACAACCTGAATTTCAGCACCCATATCCAGCATATAGCCAAAAAAGTATCCAAAACGGTTGGGATCCTCTCCAAGATACGATACTACGTGCCGCAAAATGCCCTTCTCACACTATACCACTCACTTATTTACCCATACCTCACCTATGCTATTTGTGCTTGGGGATCAACTGCAGCAACACACCTAAAGCCAATAATAACCCAACAAAAAGCTGCAGTAAGAATAATAACTAAATCCCATCCCTGGCAGCACCCCCCCCCCCCACTCTTCAAAGATCTAAACTTACTCCCAGTTCAGTACATCCACACTTACTACTGTGCAATCTATATCTACAGGGCCTTAAACTCTAATATCAACCTTGACCTAAAACGCTTTCTTGATAGTTGTGACAGAACCCACAGGCATAACACCAGAAACAAACATCTCTACGACATTCCCCGTGTCCGACTAAACCTTTACAAAAATTCAATGTATGTCAAAGGCCCTAAAATCTGGAATACCCTACCTGAGAACTCTAGAACTGCAGACACATTCATCACCTTCAAAACTACCATTAGAAAACATCTTATCTCCCTGATACACCCCGTCAACTAACTACACGAATACCACCTGGTGGTTCACACTTACACTCGCTCACTCATTTGACCATAAACAGAAATATTAATCTCAGTCTTAAAATAATGAATCCTGTGATACTCCAATACTGAAACTATGAACTGTGCCAAAACAAAAGCATTCACATTGCTAAACTCACAAACTAGTATTTAGTCACTTAGCCATAATACCAACTTACCTCATAATTTGTAATATTTTAAAATTAAGAATTAAACTAAGTCTGCCCGAAATGCCTAGCCATGCTAAGCGTTCTAGTGGTACACTCTGTAATCACAATTTTACTACATGTAAACCAAACAATAACCAAATTTCTGTAAACTCAGCATTGTAATCCTTATAGAGAATAAACTTTGAATTTGAACTTGAATTAATCTTGTATTAATGTTGGTAGAATTACCGAAAAAGGACACAAGTGCAACTAATGTGACATTTTATTGTGGCAACGTTTCGCTCTCCAGGAGCTTTGTCAAGCGACTTAGCGCTTCTTTTTGATGATGATGATGATGAATAATAATAATAATAATAATAATAATAATAATAATAATAATAATAATAATAATAATAATAATAATAATAATAATAATAATAATAATAATAATAATGTGTCAAGCGAAACGTTGCCACAATAAAATGTCACAATAGTTGCACTTGTGTCCTTTTACCTAACTTAATCTTACCTCAGAGTCTCGTTACAACAGGTCCAAGTAGTGGAACCTCAAAGCCTAGGCTGATTCATTACCTTTGTAATTTGCCATGATTGTGACCAGATCTACCTGGAGTTCATTACCTTTGTAACTAGTTCAGCTATCATAACTTTGGGGTCCAGTCCCTGGACCCATTATGTACCTTTGTAATCTTTTGACTACCGCCCACGGGATGGGTATGGGGTGCATAATAAAGATATTAAACTAACTACCTCGGCTGTAGGTCTGGTGCGTGACATGATTCTTTATTAAGCAATGATTAATTATCCCAGACGTGCTGCCTGACCAAAATTAATGTATTGTTGTTTGCTAATATCACCCAGAATAATAATTTGTGCAAGAAATACTTACTCATTAGGTAGTGTACATAGGTTATGTGTATTGTGAAACAAACTATACCCTAATTCCTCGAGTAGTAGTCGGTACTTTAGCTGGAAAACCATCATGTGGATGAGTATGTTAGGTGAACACAATTCTTGCTATAACCTTGTAAACTGTCATGTAGAACATGGTAGGTGCCAATGTAGTTTTATCTAATTTCTAATTACATTGTTATTGGATTCATGAGCGCTGTATAACCCTTGCGGTTTAGCGCTTCTTTTGATTATAATAAATTGCATTCATGGGAAGGTGCTTAAATTCGCTAAATTCTTAGAGTTCATACAGCACCTCCCCTTAAGGGAGGTTCCTTGATGCTTGTGAGGGGCTCTTGATTTAGGGAATTGGATCTGTGTTACAGTTCCATGAATTAAGCCTGAATACCTGCTATGTCCCCCCACACGCTGTATAATCCTACGGGTTTAGCACTTCCCCATGATTATAATAATCGTAGCACCTAGGGAATAGGAGAAAATCAGATTTAATTCAAGGAAAGGGAAGGAAGCTCCAATTATTTAGATAAAGAGCCCTTCACCAGCATCAAAGCACCTCTTGAAGGGTCCAAATTACAGTACAAACAGTCATAAAATCTCATCCAGTCATTTGTACCCACTAATTTAAATACTTTGCGAGTTTCAGATTTTTTATGGTAATAAGTCCATAATGTCCTTTCTGGCTCATTATTATAATATTGATGGGAACCTATATTGCTATAACCATAGGGGTCATGTAATGCTTGGTGACCAAAAGGCAGTCAGTCTTCATTCAAGGAAGGGAGCTGTAGCTCAAATTCCTTGGATCAAGTACCTATCACTAACACTGAGGCATCCTCTTGAAAGGCCCATTATTGATTTTTTTAGTCTGTTACCCCATCGTCATGGCTGTAGCTGCCTCTCACAATTTTATGCTTTTTTTTTTCAGATTATTATTTAGCCTATTTTAGTCAGTGTTATGGTACTGTTTATAAAGGTAGGAACTAGTGTATGTATCTGATTGAAGTGTTATTTTAATAAAGTATTAAGTTTATTTTATAATACTGTGGGTGATAATCAAAATTTTCTACACATTCTCAAGATTTTTCAAAGTTTTCTTTAATTTTAATTCTCTTCTAATTATTATATACTCATTTTGTTATTGTATATAGTCAAGTCTCATAAAGCTCCTTCTATGTAAATGCTATTGAAAATCACATCCAAAATTTAATACCTTGTGAAAATAAGTCTTCATAGTATGTATGTGCTATTCAGTTTTGGACTCTTTTTTTTTTTCAGTTGTACTACAGTATTTGCAAAAAATCATACTATGTATATTTGTAGAGTAGTTTTTCAAAAATTCTGTATGTATAGAAACTGGAGATTAGATTTAGATTTTGCCACCAAAGTGGCTAGTTTATTGTGCACCCCATATCCATCCTGTGGATGGTAGGGCAAGAGCATATGGATACACAAAAGGCCCAGGAACTAGGCCCCAAGGGGTTAACATGAATATATATGGATTTACTAGCAGTAAATTATACAGATTTAGCAAGGATAACCCAACAGTCAAATATACATACATGTACTAGTATTTAGCTTTGATAGTGTATCCTAGATTAAATTTTTCATAAGTTATCACCACTTTATACCCATTATAATTTTGTGTCTAATACAACCATTATAGAAATTTAAGAAAAAAGCAGATTGCAAAATTATTTGTGAAATGAACCTGAATAAAGTTTACTTAAATTCACCACAGGCTGTTAACAAACGAAGTGTGGAACACAGCGCATACTTCATCACCACAGAAGATACAGATGAACCTTCTGTGAAGAATATTGCAGCTGACATGCCTGGGCCAGATCTGCCTGTGCTTCCTCACCTGTACCATAAGAGATCCCTGAAGCAGGCATCCCCAGATGAGCTTGATGAGCAGTTCTTTCAGCAAATGAAGGATTGGCCAAGCAGCATTACTGAGCCTCACTGGAGAAGAAAGAGAGACACTCCACTACCACCTGATCATGTCATTGGCAAATCACCAAATGTTGTCCATTATACAGTATGTTTCATTTTGCTTTTCATATTCAGTGATCCCTTATTTTCCTGTAATGTCAGTACAGTACAAGTAGGTATATTCCATTATCTCATTGTAATATTTATTTTAGATATTATGCAGTACTATATTTATACATTCCATAGCATCTTCCAGAGCAGTACACAAATAACCCACACATAGAAGACTGAAACTTATGATAATGTTTCAGTGTGACCTGGACCATTATCTAGTCATAATATTCTACTGTACAACTATGAAATAATTACTATCCTACTGTACAACTATGATATACTCCTTAGTGTTAAGTAGACTGTAAGCCAATAATGTTAAGTTGGCCTATAATGCCTAGGCATAATAAAGGCTCACTTTGCATTGCAACCCACTATTGTAAATATAAAATCTCAATGTACTGTTTGTAAAGACAAAAAAAAAAAAAAAAAAATACCTGAAATTTGTGATGATGTTTTAGTCCAACTTGGACGATTAACTAGGTGTGACTAGTTTTAACCTCAGTACAGTGACTTTCACTTTCCTTTACATATTGCCAGTTATTCGTATTTGCAGATGCTACAAATCGGATGTAACTAATCCAAACTTTATTCCTTTTAGGTCAACTTCAAGGATTTCAAGGGTGCAGAAGAGGATTGGCTATCACCTCCCTTATCCAGCATTGTATATAGGTCTTCAGATGTCCAGAAGGTCTTCTTCCTGCTGCTTTTGGTCGTCATCTTAGGGGAATTCTTCAGTTGCCCAGCTCTCACTCTGGCAGATTCTGCGGTGAGAAGGGATGGGGGTAAAAGTAAGGTGACCAGTATCTCGGTGATAGAGCACTCGGCTCACAATTGGAAGGTCCCAGGTTCAATTCCAGGGCTAGACGAGACATAAAGGCAAGTCTCTTTACACCTGCTGCCCCTTTTCACCTGGGGGTCATCGTGAGTTTGTTAGTTTACTCTAGATGGAGTTGGGCTTTGAAATGAACTGACCAAATCCAACAGAACATCTGCTAATTAGTTTTATTATGTGACCTCTAGGCTTTTAATTCTGCCGATCCATAAAATATTACCACCTGAACCATTATTTGTAAGGTAGATTTTGTGTGCAATTTCAAGATTATTTTACCGAACCCTACTCCACCTTACTACCTCACATTTGTATTAAGTTTAAATAAGATTATAAAATAGTTAACCACTACTACTTGTCTAGTTTTAATTATACATAGTAGATACTATGTACTATTATCTTATCTAGTTTTAATTAGTTACTATGTATTAGGATTAGTCTGCCCAAAATGCCTCGGCATGATAGTGGCTATCTTTGTACTTAGCAAATCAAAATTGTAATTACACATGGTAACCTTTACAAAGAAATAAACTTTACTCTGAACTGTCAGAATAAAAGTCTTTTAATATTGTAGTTTAATCATAATATTAACAGTAACAATAATTATAACATGAATAGCAGAATTGGTATTGAGTGAGTTGTGGGAAAGGCAGAGAATATGACTGCAGATGAGCAAGGTGGATTGAGGAAGGGAAGGAAATGTATGGATCAAGTGTTTGTGTTAAAGCATATACACTGTGTAAATGAACAATATTTAGATAAGAGTAAGAAGCAGTTTGTTGCATTTATGAATCTGGAAAATAACATGCTATTATAGATAGGGAAGTAATTTGGCTGGTGTTGCAAAGGTGTAGAATAGGTGGTAGGCTCTTAAAAGCTCTACAGAGATTTATGAGAAGTGATGCTCAGGTTAGGGTATGTAGGAGAAAGAGGGGGAGAATTTTACATTTCAAGTAGGCCTTGTATTGGAATGGCAGGATTGCTGACACATATGGTAAGAGGACATTTTTAGAGTAAAGTCACTAATTTCATAAAGCCCATGTGTAACAAAGGTAATATCTGTGAAGGGATTCATTGAAACCAACAAGCTGGATTTCAGCTCTTAAGGATGGGTGGGAATGTTGCAGTTCAGAGGGTCATTTGAATTGTGATGTCCATGCACTTCTGAAAAGACAAAGAATGAATAATGATCAGTATATTCACTTTTTTTGGATCATCCTACTGTGGTGGGGAATGGCTGATAAAGTAAAAAAGTACATTATATATATATTTTTTTAACAAACTGGCCATATCCCATCTAGGCAGCGTGACCCAAAAAGAAAAACAAAAGTTTCTCTTTTTTCTTCTTTCTTTCAACACACCGGCCGTATCCCACCGAGGCGGGGTGGCCCAAAAGGAAAAACGAAAATTTATCCTTTTACATTTAGTAATGTATACAGGAGAAGAGGTTACTAGTCCCTTGCTCCCGGCATTTTAGTCACCTCTTACAATACGCATGGCTTACAGAGGAAGAATTCTGTTCCACTTTCCCATGGAGTACATTACACATATATACAGTGGAACCTCAGTTTTCATTTTTAATCCATTCCAGAAAGTCGGCCGAAAACCGATTTGTATGAAAACTGTAGTAATATTTCCCATACAAATAATGTAAATCCAATTAATTCATTCCAGACACCCAAAAATATTTAAAAAAAATACATTTTATAGAGAATAACTATAGTTTTACATACAGAAAACAATAAAAAATAAATACAAATGACTAATGGATAAATGAACATTTAACATCACTTTTACCTTTATTGAAGACTCCTGTTGGCATATGGAAGACGAGGAGGAGGGGAGAGGGCGGAGAGGTTATTGTATGGAAGGGGAATCCCCTTCCATAAGGATTTCAAAGCCCTACCTGTGGTTACTTCCCTTCTTTGTCTTTTACTGGCACTAGGGCCAGCTTGAGAGTCACTGGGCCCCTGTAACACATAAAATCTGTCCAGAGAGGCCTGTTTCTGGCGTCTCTTTAAGATTTGCCTAAAATGTGGATAGGGGAGCAATGTGGCAGATGTTGCAAGTATATGGAATAGGTGGTAAGTTACTAAATGCTGTAAAGCGTTTTTATGAGGATAGTGAGGCTCAGGTTAGGGTGCGTAGAAGAGAGGGAGACTACTTCCCGGTAAAAGTAGGTCTTAGACAGGGATGTGTAATGTCACCATGGTTGTTTAATATATTTATAGATGGGGTTGTAAGAGAAGTAAATGCTAGGGTGTTCAGGAGAGGGGTGGGATTAAATTATGTTGAATTAAATACAAAATGGGAAGTGACACTTTTTGCTGATGATACTGTGCTTATGGAAGATTCTAAAGAAAAATTGCAAAGGTTAGTGGACGAATTTGGGAGTGTGTGTGTAAAGGTAGAAAGTTGAAAGTGAACATAGAAAAGAGTAAGGTGATGAGAGTATCAAGTGATTTAGATAAAGAAAAATTGGATATCAAATTGGGGAAGAGGAGTATGGAACAAGTGAATGTTTTCAGATATTTGGCGGTTGACGTGTCAGCAGATGGAGTTATGAAGGATGAGGTTAATCATAGAATTGATGAAGGAAAAAAGGTGAGTGGTGCACTGAGGTATATGTGGAGGCAAAAAATATTATCTATGGAGGCAAAGAAGGGAATGTATGAAAGTATAGTAGTACCAACACTCTTATATGGGTGTGAAGCTTGGGTTGTAAATTCTGCAGCGAGGAGGTGGTTGGAGGCAGTGGAGATGTCCTGTCTAAGGGCAATGTGTGGTGTAAATATTATGCAGAAAATTCGGAGTGTGGAAATTAGGAGAAGGTGTTTTACCTGGAGTTTACCTGGAGAGAGTTTCGGGGGTCAACGCCCCCGCGGCCCGGTCTGTGACCAGGCCTCCTGGTGGATCAGCGCCTGATCAACCAGGCTGTTGCTGCTGGCTGCACGCAAACCAACGTACGAGCCACAGCCCGGCTGATCAGGAACTGACTTTAGGTGCTTGTCCAGTGCCAGCTTGAAGACTGCCAGGGGTCTGTTGGTAATCCCCCTTATGTGTGCTGGGAGGCAGTTGAACAGTCTCGGGCCCCTGACACTTATTGTATGGTCTCTTAACGTGCTAGTGACACCCCTGCTTTTCATTGGGGGGATGGTGCATCGTCTGCCAAGTCTTTTGCTTTCGTAGTGAGTGATTTTCGTGTGCAAGTTCGGTACTAGTCCCTCTAGGATTTTCCAGGTGTATATAATCATGTATCTCTCCCTCCTGCGTTCCAGGGAATACAGGTTTAGAAACCTCAAGCGCTCCCAGTAATTGAGGTGTTTTATCTCCGTTATGCGCGCCGTGTAGGTTCTCTGTACATTTTCTAGGTCAACAATTTCACCTGCCTTGAAAGGTGCTGTTAGTGTGCAGCAATATTCCATCCCATATCGAGCAAGCGACCTGAAGAGTGTCATTGGCTTGGCATCCCTAGTTTTGAAGGTTCTCATTATCCATCCTGTCATTTTTCTAGCATATGCGATTGATACAATGTTATGGTCCTTGAAGGTGAGATCCTCCGACATGATCACTCCCAGGTCTTTGATGTTAGTTTTTCACTCTATTGTGTGGCTGGAAATTGTTTTATACTCTGATGAAGTTTTAATTTCCTCATGTTTACCACATCGGAGTAATTGAAATTTCTCATCGTTGAACTTCATATTGTTTTCTGCAGCCCACTGAAATATTTGGTTGATGTCCGTCTGGAGCCTTGCAGTGTCTGCAATGGAAGACACTGTCATGCAGATTCGGGTGTCATCTGCAAAGGAAGACAAGGTGCTGTGGCTGACATCCTTGTTTATGTCAGCTATGAGGATGAGAAACAAGATGGGAGCAAGTACTCTGCCTTGCGGAACAGAGCTTTTCACCGTAGCCGCCTCAGATTTTACTCTATTGACTATTACTCTTTGTATTCTGAAGATTGAGACACTTATGCAGCATATGGGAATCTTTATTCAGGAAACGTTTCGCCACACAGTGGCTTCATCAGTCCAATACAAAGAGGAAGGCGTAAGGAGAGGAGTATGAGGTAATCAGTCCCTCAGCCTGGAGTCGATGTGTTCAGTCCATCAATCTTGTAGAATGTACAGCATAGGGCCGTAGACGTGGCTTATATACTGTAGTGAGGTGACTTGAAGCAGACGGAGGCGGGATCATAGTGGTACCATCCACTAGTCGAAGTAGGTCTTTGTCCAAAGGTTGGACAAGCGTTGAAGAATTCTTTGTAAGAAGATCCCATGATGCTGCAGTGTCTGACAGTTGTGATGAATGGTTTGAAAAACCGACAAGTTGAGATTGAGACACTTATGCAGCATATGGGAATCTTTATTCAGGAAACGTTTCGCCACACAGTGGCTTCATCAGTCCAATACAAAGAGGAAGGCGTTAAGGAGAGGAGTATGAGGTAATCAGTCCTCAGCCTGGAGTCGATGTGTTCAGTCCATCAATCTTGTAGAATGTACAGCATAGGGCCGTAGACGTGGCTTATATACTGTAGTGAGGTGACTTGAAGCAGACGGAGGCGGGATCATAGTGGTACCATCCACTAGTCGAAGTAGGTCTTTGTCCAAAGGTTGGACAAGCGTTGAAGAATTCTTTGTAAGAAGATCCCATGATGCTGCAGTGTCTGACAGTTGTGATGAATGGTTTGAAAAACCGACAAGTTGAAGATTGAGACACTTATGCAGCATATGGGAATCTTTATTCAGGAAACGCCCCGCCACACAGCGGCCCCACCAGTCCAACACAAAGAGGAAGGCGCAAGGAGAGGAGCACGAGGCAATCAGTCCCCCAGCCCAGAGTCGACGTGCTCAGCCCACCAATCCTGCAGAATGTGGAGTTAATAAAAGTATTAGTCAGAGGGCTGAAGAGGGTTTGTTGAGGTGGTTTGATCATTTAGAGAATGGATCAAAGTAGAATGACATGGAGAGCATATAAATCTGATAGGGAAGGAAGGTGGGATAGGGGTCATCCTCGAAAAGGTTGGAGGGGGGGGGTAAAGGAGGTGTTGTGGGCAAGGGGTTTGGACTTCAAGCAAGCGTGCATGAGCATGTTAGAAAGGAGTGAATGGAGACGAATGGTACTTGGGACCTGACGAGCTGTTGGAGTGTGAGCAGGGTAATATTTAGTGAAGGGATTCAGGGAAACCGGTTATTTTATATAACCGGACTTGAGTCCTGGAAATGGGAAGCACAATGCCTGCACTCTAAAGGAGGGGTTTGGGATATTGGTAGTTTGGTGGGATATACTGTATTGTGTATTTTTTATACGTATGTACTTCTAAACAGAGATTATGTGTGAGTGTGGTGAAAGCGTTGAATGATGAAAGTATTTTCTTTTTGGGGATTTTCTTTCTTTTTGGGGCACCCTGCCTCGGTGGGAGACGGCCGACTTGTTGAAAAAAAAAATATAATATATATATATATATATATATATATATATATATATATATTTATATAATATATTATTATATATATTATATATATTATATATATATATATATATTTAACAAGTCGGTCGTCTCCCACCAAGGCAGGGTGACCAAAAAAGAAAGAAAATCCCCAAAAGAAATACTTTCATATCATTCAACACTTTCACCACACTCACACATTATCACTGCTTTTGCAGAGGTGCTCATGAATACAACAGTTTTGAAGCATATACGTATAAAGATACACAAGATATCCTCCAAACTGCCAATATCCCAAACCCCTCCTTTAAAGTGCAGGCATTGTTACTTCCTATTTCAGGGATCAAGTCCGACTATATGAAAATAACGGTTTCCCTGAATCCCTTCACTAAATATTACCCTGCTCACACTCCAACAGATCGTCAGGTCCCAAGTATCATTCATCTCCATTCACTCTATCTAACACGCTCATGCATGCTTGCTGGAAGTCCAAGCCCCTCGCCCAAAACCTCCTTTACCCCCTCTTTCCAACCCTTTCGAGGACGACCCCTACCCTCTTTCCTTCCCTATAGATTTATATGCTTTCCATGTCATTCTACTTTGATCCATTCTTCTAAATGGCAAACCACTTCAACAACCCCTCTTCTGCCTCTGACTAATGCTTTTATTAACTCCACACCTTTTCCTAATTCCACTCTCCGAATTTTCTGCATAATATTTACACCACACATTGCCCTTAGACAGGACATCTCCACTGCTCCAACCGTCTCCTCGCTGCTGCATTTACCACCAAGCTTCACATCCATATAAGAGTGTTGGTACTACTATACTTTCATACATTCCCTTCTTGCCTCCATAGATAACGTTTTTTGACTCCCATATACTTCAACGCCACTACTCACCTTTTTTCCTCATCATTCTATGATTAACCTCATCCTTCATAAATCATCCGCCGACACGTCAACTCCCAAGTATCTGAAAACATTCACTTCTTCCATTACTCCTCCTCCCCAATTTGATATCCAATTTTCTTTATCTAAATCATTTGATACCTCATCCCTTACTCTTTTCTATGTTCTCTTTCAACTTCCTACCTTTACACACATTCTCAACTCATCCACTAACCTTTGCAATTTTTCTTTAGAATCTCCATAAGCACAGTATCATCAGCAAAAAGTAACTGTGTCAATTCCCATTTTGAATTTGATTCCCCTAATTTAATCCCACCCTCTCCCGAACCCCTAGCTTTTACTTCTTTTACAACCCCATCTATAAATATATTAAACAACCATGGTGACATTACACATCCCTGTCTAAGACCTACTTTTACCAGGAAGTATTCTCCCTCTCTTCTACACACCTAACTGAGCCTTCACTATCCTCATAAAGCTCTTTCAGCATTTAGTAACTTACACCTATTCCATATACTTTCAACATCTGCCACATTGCTCCTCTATCCACTCTATCATAGTGCCTTTTCTAAATCCATAAATGCAATAAAAACTTCCCTACCTTTATCTAAATACTGTTCACATATATGCTTAATGTAAACACTTGATCTACACATCCCTACCCACTCTGAAAACCTCCTTGCTCATCCGCAATCCTACATTTGTCTTACCTCTAATTCTTTCAATTATAAACCGTACCGTTATACTTTTCCTGGTATTACTCAGTAAACTTATTCCTCTATAATTTTTTACAATTCTTTTTGTTACCCCTTTCTCTTATATAAAGGGACTATACATGCTCTCTGCCAATCCCTAGGTACCTTCCCCTCTTTCATACATTTATTAAACAAAGTTACCAACCACTCCAACACTATATCCCCCCTGCTTTTAACATTTCTGTCATGATCCATCAGTTCCAGCTGCTTTACCCCCTTTCATTCTGCGTAATGCCTCACGTACTCCACCACACTTACCATTTTGCTCTCATTCACTGCTATCAAACACGCTCACGCATGCCTGCTGGAAGTCCAAGCCCTCGCACACAAAACCTCCTTTACCCCCTCTCTCCAACCTTTCCTAGGCCGACCCCCTACCCCCCTTCCTTCCACTACAGACTGATACACTCTTGAAGTCATTCTGTTTCGCTCCATTCTCTCTACATGTCCGAACCACCTCAACAACCCTTCCTCAGCCCTTGGACAACAGTTTTGGTAATCCCGCACCTCCTCCTAATTTCCAAACTACGAATTCTCGCATTATTTCACACCACACATTGCCCTCAGACATGACATCTCCACTGCCTCCAGCCTTCTCCTCGCTGCAACATTCATCACCATGCTTCACACCCATATAAGAGCGTTGGTAAAACTATACTCTCATACATTCCCCTCTTTGCTCCAAGGACAAAGTTCTTTGTTTCCACACGACTCCTAAGTGCACCACTCACTCTTTTCCCCTCATCAATTCTATGATTCACCTCATCTTTCATAGACCCATCCGCTGACACGTCCACTCCAAATATCTGAATACATTCACCTTCCTCCATACTCCTCCCTCCAATCTGATATTCAATCTTTCATCACCCAATCTTTTTGTTATCCTCATAACCTTACTCTTTCCTGTGATTCACTTTCAATTTTCTTCTTTTGCACACCCTACCAAATTCATCCACCAATCTCTGCAAACTTCTCTTCAGAATCTCCCAAGAGCACAGTGTCATCATCAAAGAGCAACTGTGACAACTCCCACTTTATGCGTGATTCTTTATCTTTAATTCCACGCCTTCTTGCCAAGACCCTCGCATTTACTTCTCTTAAACCCCATCTATAAATATATTAAACAACCACGGTTGACATCACACATCCTTGTCTAGGCCTACTTTTACTGGGAAATAATTTCCCTCTTTCCTACATACTCTAACTTGAGCCTCACTATCCTCGTAAAAACTCTTCACTGCTTTCAGTAACCTACCTCCTACACCATACACCTGCAACATCTGCCACATTGCCCCCCTATCCACCCTGTCATACGCCTTTTCCAAATCCATAAATGCCACAAAAACCTCTTTAGCCTTATCTAAATACTGTTCACTTATATGTTTCACTGTAAACACCTGGTCCACACACTCCCTACCTTTCCTAAAGCCTCCTTGTTCATCTGCTATCCTATTCTCCGTCTTACTCTTAATTCTTTCAATAATAACTCTACCATACACTTTGCCAGGTATATATATATATATATACACATACATACAGTAAGATGTAAGTAACTGAGGTAATTGCTTTACCATACGTATTTGCAGGTTTTATCCTACTTGGGTGATGAGGCTGATCACTATGGTCGACAGCGCATGTTTGGATCCCTGGGTTGGGGTCTCTCCATGTTCTTCGTAGGCATTGCTCTGGATCATTCTACTGCTTTCCCTGGACACCCCTGTGGGCCTCATGAGAAAGAGAGAAACTACACTATATGCTTTGCTGTTTTTAGTGTCCTCATGGGCTGTGCTCTCATCACAGCATCACAGTTTAAGGTAAGGCAACTATTTATATCTTGTTCTTAAATAGATAAAATGCACCTTTACACTTTAAAAAATGTCTCCTTGTATCCACTACCCCTTGTTCACCTAGCAGTGAATTGCTTGGTAATGTACAAAAAAAAAAGGAAAGTAAAGGAATTTTTTCACAAATGAACATACAGTAATGTATATGCAGATTAATAAATATTGAAACTTTATTTAAATTTTATGCACATTTATTATTGATTCTTTAAGGCTGGACCAAATTGATCTGTGAACATACACAGTATAACTTTCATGAAAATACAAAAATACATGTGGTATAATTAAAATTTTTGCCAAGGTTCATTATGTGTTTCAACAGTTTGATTACTCAGAAGCAATTACAAGCACTACACCAGAGGAAGCCAAGGAACCTGTGGATAATGGGCCACGTCCTTGGAATGAGCCCAAAATTCCCTTACAGGAACAGAAATCCCAAAGACAAAAGCTTGACGAAGCCATTGGCACAATTAAGGTGAGTTATCACAGCCTTTATAAAGGCACAAATAGTTCTCTTTTTTTTCTGGATATTTACAGCTCTGCATTATTATTATTATTATTATTATTATTATTATTATTATTATTATTAATTATTATTATTATTATAGTAGTAGGTTGGTAGACAGCAACCACCCAGGGAGGTACTACCGTCCTGCCAAGTGAGTGTAAAACGGAAGCCTGTAATTGTTTTACATGATGGTAGGATTGCTGGTGTCTTTTGTCTGTCTCATAAATATGCAAGATTACAGGTATGTCTTGCTACTTCTACTTACACTTAGGTCACACTACACATACATGTACACGTTTATTTATACCACACTCATCTGAGTTTTCTTTGATTTTATCTTAATAGTTCTGGTCTTATTACTTTTCCTTTTTATATCCATGGGAAGTGGAATAAGAATCTTTCCCCGTTAAGCCATGCGTGTTGTAAAAGTCAACTAAAATGCCGGAACAATGGGCCTAGTACCCCTTTTCTGTAAAGATTACTAAAAAAGAATAAGAAGAAGAAAATTGTCAAAGTGGGAAGTCTGAATGTGCGTGGATGTTGTGCAAATGTAAGAAAGATGATGATTGTTGGGTTATGAATGAGAAGAAACTGGATGTCCTGGCTTTTAAGTGAAACAAAGCTGAAGGGGGTGGGAGAGTTTCAATGGAGAGGAATAAATGGGATTAGGTCAGGGGTTTCAATAGAGTTACAGCTAAAGAAGGAGTACAATAATGTTGAAGGATAAGCTATGGCAGGAAAAGAGGGACTACAAATGTATAAATTCAAGGATTATGTGGAAGTAAAATAAGATTGGATGTGAAAAAGTGGGTTATAGTAAGCGTGTATGCACCTGGAGAAGAGAGAAGTGTAGGGATGAGAGAGAGAGATTCTGGGAAATGTTGAGTGAATGCGTGGGGAGTTTTGAATCAAGTGTGAGGTAATGGTGGTTGGGGATTTCAATGCTAAGTGGGTAAAAATGTTATGGAGGGAGTAAGTAGGTAAATTTGGGTGTGCCAGGGGTAAATGTAAATGGGGAGCCTTTAATTGAGCTATGTGTATGAAAGAAATTTGGTAATAAGTAATACATATTTTATGAAAAAGAGAATAAATAAATATACAAGGCATGATGTAGCACGGTAATGAAAGTAGTTTGTTAGATTATGTATTGGTGGATAAAAGGTTGATGGGTAGGCTCCAGGATGTCTGTTTATAGAGGGGCAACTGATATATCGGTATCATTATTTAGTTGTAGCTACAGTTAGAGTAAGAGGTGATGGGAAAAGAGGAAGGTGGCAACACAAGTAAGAGGAGGTGTAAAGTGTATAAACTAAGGGAGGAGGAAGTTCGGGCGAATATAAGCGACTATTGGCAGAAAGGTGGGCTAGTGCAAAGATGAGTAGTGGGGGTTGAATGAGGGTTGGAATAGTTTTAAAAATGCAGTATTAGAATGTGGGGCAGAAGTTTGTGGTTATGGAGGGTGGGGGCAGGAGGAAAGAGGAGTGATTGGTGGAATGATGAAGTAAAGGGTGTGATAAAAGAGAAAAAGGTAGCTTACGAGATGGTTTTTACAAAGCAGAAGTGTTATAAGAAGAGCAGAGTATATGGAGAGTAAAAGAAAGGTTAAGAGAGTGGTGAGAGAGGTGCAAAAGGAGAGCAGATGAAGAGTGGGAGAGGCACTGTCAAGAAATTTTAATGAAAATAGAAAAATTTTGGATGTGAGTTAAACAGTTAAGAAAGCTAGGGAAAGTATGATTTGTCAGTTAAAAACAGAGTAGGGAGTTAGTAGATGGGGAGAGGGAGGTATTAGGTAGATGGCGAGAATATTTTGAGGAACTTTTAAATGTTGAGGAAGAAAGGAGGCGGTAATTTCATGCACTGGCCAGGGAGGTATACCATCTTTTAGGAGTGAAGAAGAGCAGAATGTAAGTGTGGTGGAGGTACGTGAGGCATTACGTAGAATGAAAGGGGGGTTGTTAAAGCAGCTGGAACTGATGGGATCATGACAGAAATGTTAAAAGCAGGGGGGGATATAGTGTTGGAGTGGTTGGTACTTTTGTTTAATAAATGTATGAAAGAGGGGAAGGTACCTAGGGATTGGCCAGAGAGCATGTATAGTCCCCTTTATATAAAGGGAAAGGGGACAAAAGAGATTGTAAAAATTAGAGGAATAAATTTACTGAGTATACCAGGAAAAGTATACGGTAGGGTTTAATTGAAAGAATTAGAGGTAAGACAGAATGTAGGATTGCGGGTGAGCAGGGAGGCTTCAGAGTGGGTAGGGGATGTGTAGATCAAGTGTTTACATTGAAACATATATGTGAACAGTATTTAGATAAAGGTAGGAAAGTTTTTATTGCATTTATGGATTTAGAAAAGGCATATGATAGAGTGGATAGAGGAGCAATGTGGCGATGTTGCAAGTATATGGAATAGGTGGTAAGTTACTAAATGCGTAAAGAGCTTTTATGAGGATAGTGAGGCTCAGTTGTTAGGGTGTGAAAAAGAGAGGGAGAATACTTCTCGGTTAAAATGTAGGTCTTAGACAGGGATGTGTAATGTCACCATGGTTGTTTAATATATTTATAGATGGGGTTGTGAAAGAAGTAAATGCTAGGGTGTTTGGGAGAGGGGTGGGATTAAATTATGGGGAATCAAATTCAAATGGGAATTGACACATTACTTTTTTGCTAATGTTACTGTGCTTATGGGAGATTCTAAAGAAAAATTGCAAGGTTAGTGGATGAGTTTGAGAATGTGTGTAAAGGTAGAAAGTTGAAAGTGAACATAGAATAAGAGTAAGGTGATGAGGGTATCAATGATTTAGATAAGAAAAATTGGATATCAAATTGGGGAGGAGGAGTATGGAAGAAGTGAATGTTTTCAGATACACTGTTACTTGGGAGTTGCGTGTCGGCGATGGATTTATGAAGGATGAGGTTAATTCATATGAATTGATGAGGGAAAAAAGGTGATTGGTGACGTTGAGGTATATGTGGAGTCAAAAAACGTTATCTATGGAGGCAAAGAAGGGAATGTATGAAAGTATAGTAGTACCAAACTCTTATATGGATTTGAAGCTTGGGTGGTAATGCAGCAGCGAGGAGACGGTTTGGAGGCAGTGGAGATGTCCTGTCTAAGGGCAGTGTGTGGTGTAAATATTATGCAGAAAATTCGGAGTGTAGAAATTAGGAATAGGTGTGGAGTTAATAAAAGTATTAGTCAGAGGGCAGAAGAGGGGTTGTTGAGGTGGTTTGGTCATTTAGAGAGAATGGATCAAAGTAGAATGACATGGAAAGCATATAAATCTATAGGGGAAGGTAGGAGGGGTAGGGGTTGTCCTCAAAAGGGTTGGAAAGAGGGGGTAAAGGAGATTTTGTGGGCTAGGGGCTTGGACTTGCAGCAAGCGTGCATGAGCATGTTAGATAGGAGTGAATGGAGACGAATGATACTTGGGACCTGACGATCTGTTGGAGTGTGAGCAGGGTAATGTTTAGTGAAGGGATTCAGGGAAACCTAGGTAGTAGGTTGGTAGACAGCAACCGCCCAGGGAGGTACTACCGTCCTGCCAAGTGAGTGTAAAACGAAAGCCTGTAATTGTTTTACATGATGGTAGGATTGCTGGTGTCCTTTTTTCTGTCTCATGAACATGCAAGATTTCAGGTACGTCTTGCTACTTCTACTTACACTTAGGTCACACTACACATACATGTACAAGCATATATATACACACCCCTCTGGGTTTTCTTCTATTTTCTTTCTAGTTCTTATTCTTGTTTATTTCCCCTTATCTCCATGGGGAAGTGGAACAGAATTCTTCCTCCGTAAGCCATGCGTGTTGTAAGAGGCGACTAAAATGCCGGGAGCAAGGGGCTAGTAACCTCTTTTCCTGTATATATTACTAAATGTAAAAGGAGAAACTTTTGTTTTCCTTTTGGGCCACCCCGCCTCGGTGGGATACAGCCGGTGTGTTGAAAGAAAGAAAGATTCAGGGAAACCGGTTATTTTCATATAGTCGGACTTGAGTCCTGGAAATGGGAAGTACAATGCCTGCACTTTAAAGGAGGGGTTTGGGATATTGGCAGTTTGGAGGGATATGTTGTGTATCTTTATACGTATATGCTTCTAAGCTGTTGTATTCTGAGCACCTCTGCAAAAGCAGTGATAATGTGTGAGTGTGGTGAAAGTGTTGAATGATGATGAAAGTATTTTCTTTTTGGGGATTTTCTTTCTTTTTTGGGTCACCCTGCCTCGGTGGGAGACGGCCGACTTGTTGAAAAAAAAAAAATTATTATTATTATTGTTATTATTATTTATTATTATTATTATTTTCATATAGTCGGACTTGAGTCCTGGAAATGGGAAGTACAATGCCTGCACTTTAAAGGAGGGGTTTGGGATATTGGCAGTTTGGAGGGATATGTTGTGTGTCTTTATATGTGTATGCTTCTGGACTGTTGTATTCTGAGCACCTCTGCAAAAACAGTGATAATGTGCGAGTGTGGTGAAAGTGTTGAATGATGATGAAAGTATTTTCTTTTTGGGGATTTTCTTTCTTTTTTTTTTGGGTCACCCTGCCTCGGTGGGAAACGGCCGACTTGTTGAAAAAAAAAAAAAAAAAATTATTATTATTATTATTATTATGAAAGATGAGGTGAATTATAGAATTGATGAGGGGAAAAGGGTGAGTGGTGCACTTAGGAGTCTATGGAGACAAAGAACTTTGTCCTTGGAGGCAATGAGGGGAATGTATGAGAGTATAGTTTTACCAACGCTCTTATATGGGTGTGAAGCATGGGTGATGAATGTTGCAGCTAGGAGATGGCTGGAGGCAGTGGAGATGTCATGTCTGAGGGCAATGTGTGGTGTGAATATAATGCAGAGAATTCGTAGTTTGGAAGTTAGCAGGAGGTGCGGGATTACCAAAACTGTTGTTCAGAGGGCTGAGGAAGGGTTGTTGAGGTGGTTCGGACATGTAGAGAGAATGGAGCGAAACAGAGTGACTTCAAGAGTGTATCAGTCTGTAGTGGAAGGAAGGCGGGGTAGGGGTCGGCCTAGGAAAGGTTGGAGGGAGGGGGTAAAGGAGGTTTTGTGTGCGAGGGACTTGGACTTCCAGCAGGCATGCGTGAGCGTGTTTGATAGGAGTGAATGGAGACAAATGGTTTTTAATACTTGACGTGCTGTTGGAGTGTGAGCAAAGTAACCTTGATAATAGACTCAAATTTCATACACATATACAACAAATTTCTAAGAAAATTTCCAAGACTGTAGGCATACTATCGAAGATACGGTACTATGCTCCACAGTCAGCCCTCCTGGCCCTATATCACTCTCTTATTTACCCCTATCTCACCTATGGAATTTGTGCATGGGGCTCAACATCAAGTAACCATCTCAGACCACTAATTACCCAACAAAAGGCTGCAGTTAGAATGATAACAAATTCTCACTACAGGCAGCACACTCCACCAATATTCAATACACTCAACCTACTCACCATACAAAACATCCATACTTATTACTGCACCCTATTACATACATAGAACACTCAACTCTGATATTAACCCTCCCCTCAAACATCTCCTTGCCAACCCAACAGAACACATGACCATAACACAAGGCACAGATCACTCTTGATATTCCTCGTGTCCATCTCACGCTATGCAAAAACTCAATGCACATAAAGGCCCTAAAATCTGGAATTCATTACCTGTAAATATAAAAGAAACACTACTGTTTATAAATTCAAGTCTCTTCTCAAAGATCACTTACTCACCCAAAACCAAGTAAATACTGAATAACTGAAACCTTATAAATTGGTATATCTTAAATGTTTCTCACAATTATATCACATAAATGTTAAACCTAAAACTCAATCTAACTTTATTTTTTTTTAAATACACTACCTAACAGAATACTCCATTCTACTGAATTTATAACAATGCATGCAACCATATGACCTGTCTTTGTAATACTCACTTGTGCTTTATAGTAATCAGTTTACATTAATGTTTTTCACTGATTTCATCATTGCTTAGTTAATCTTAAGTTAATTTTAAGCCAGCCCGTAATGCTATGCATAGTATAAGTGGCTTTGGCATGCTGCTCTTATCTGTATTTTTTTTTGTACCTCTGTAAGTGTGCTCAAATTATAAATAAATAAATAAATAAATAAATAAATAAATGAAGGGATTCAGGGAAACCGGCAGGCCGGACTTGAGTCCTGGAGATGGGAAGTACAATGCTTGCACTCTGAAGGAGGGGTGTTAATGTTGCAGTTTAAAAACTGTAGTGTAAAGCACCCTTCTGGCAAGACAGTGATGGAGTGAATGATGGTGAAAGTTTTTCTTTTTCGGGCCACCCTGCCTTGGTGGGAATCGGCCAGTGTGATAATAAAAAAAAATAATTATTTATTATTATTATTATTATTATAACTATGGGGAAATGCTAAACTTGTATGGGTCATACAGTGCCTAAGGATTGGAATGTAATAAAGCTTAATCCAAGGAGAGAGATAGTACCTTCAATTCCTTACATCAGTAGGTATTTCAAGCATTACCTGCCTTCATGAAGGAATATATCTTTGTAGAAGTCCTTTAAGAAGATTTCCTAATACCTTATAAAATAAATGGTTATAACTATGACCACAGTTTTTAAAGGGGTGGACCAGTAAGCCAGCAGAAGGCCTCGGTCAGATGACCAAAAGCTCCAATGGCGGGTCATCATATGACTAAGACCTGCGACAGGAAACACTTATCCTGGTTCCTGACAAACCTCCTTACCTAACCTAACCTCCAGATCATAACTCAAGTTAATAATTAAGCAAAACTCAAGGAAGTCCAGCAATATGGCTTATTTCCATGGGTATCTCTGTCTGCTGACTTAAGATCAGTGTCATATTTGCAGTAAAATGCTATAACCATAATAAAAAAATAGTTTATACCACCATAATAGCTATAAATCCTGTCTCCCTTCAATATAAAATGGTCTTACATACTGATTACATTTCCTGGTACGCAGGTATATATAACATTTTATGCATTCATCTTCAGTCGTACTAAGATGCAATCTTAGAAATTATTGGCTTATAAAATCATGAGTATACATAGGTTACTGGTGAGTTTATACTGATATTTATATTCATCTTAATGTAGCTTTGTGCATATGGATCCACACTGACTTGAATACTATATTCATCTATATATTAATGCATTACATCTCTTTTACCCAGACTTCAAATCGCCATACTGTACTCATAATTTTTAAGTTTACCTATGTATAATTATTATTCCATGTCTATGTATGTATGATGGGTATGGGGTGCATAATAAACATATTAAACTAACTGTATGAATGTTTGTTTGTATGTTTATGAATGTATGTATGCATGTATATATTTATCAATATGGTATTCACATCATTTGATATACAGTACATTATACATCCAGTGATAGGAATCATGAACTGTACTTCATTACCAGATGACAGATGCATTAAGTAATGAAAATCTTATTGCTTTATCAGACCAAGATCTTCGCTCAAACAATGAAGGAGATGCCAGAATGGTTTGTGGTGTTGAGGGAGTTTAAGAATCTCCGGTGTGGTGCCTTCCTCTTCGTTGCCTGGTGGATGGGCTTTGGCATTGGTCTCATATTTGCCTTCTTGTTCTGGCATTTACAGGTGAGTTTTGAAATGTGGAAAATTAAATCAGTGTATCTCTAGTAATTATGATAAAGAACAGCCTAACTGTTGCTGTCATGCAGCCTCATATATGACACAAAATTAATTACTATTATCCTATGGTGGCTCTACAGGCCTACAGGATGGGTATAGGGTGCATAATAAAGATATTAAATTAATTAACTCTCCTTCCCAGGACTATGGTGGCACCCCTACAGTATTTGGTATTGCTAGCGTCATGAATCACATCTCTGAAATTTTTGCTTACTTCTTCAGCTTCCGACTCATTGCTCAGATTGGACATGTAAAGGTAAAAAAAAGGCACATTAATAATGTTTGTTAGTACAGTAATTTTGCTAATTTCTCAATCACATGAAAATGAATTATAGAGAATTTATCATTAACAGTGATAAAGGCCCTGTATCATTATGCTGCATCACACATGCTCTCCATGTGAGGTGATGCAATGTTGCTAATTTTGTCTTTCTTAATAGTAGTTTTGTTAGTGCTTATAAATAAATTTCTTCATGTATTTCTTTTTCTCCCATTTCCAGTTTCTTATATTCCAACCTTATATCTTATTTGTTCTGACATTTGACATTTCCAATAAAATATTTATGATCAGTTAATAATTTTGTTGTACATCAGGTGCTATGTATTGGACTGACAGGCAATGTACTGCGTTTCCTCTATATTTCCTGGATGAAGGACCCTTGGTGGGTCCTGCCTTTTGAGTTTATTCAAGGTTAGTATTTACGGAACGAGGATACAGTATTTATTTTTATGTAGTTTAATTTAGAAAATATGATTTTATTCAGTCCATGTTGAGAAAATCATATATAACTAGTAAATTAACTTTCATACTGTGCCTCTGCAATATGCTTTGATTATTATTATTGTTATATTAACGAGAGTAGCACTAAACCTGAAGAGGTCACACAGTGCTTGGGGTTAATGGAAGGCAATCAAATATGGTCTAAGGAGAGGAATGATAGGTCCAGATCCTTGGCTGAAGAGCCTCTCATGAGGAAAATGGTGCCTTGAATCAAACAGTGGATCATCAAGTAACACTTTTTTGTTCACGTTACCATGGTTGAAAAATTATGGCAAATTTTCTTGGAACATGCCGTATTTTTCATCTAAAACAGAGTAAATGTAGGGGAAAATGTAACACACTGCAGGTTTATTCCCCTTTTGTCTTGCAGTGAGCCTATTGGTGAGGCTGTTTTCTTATGGAGGGCCTACCTAACATGAAGAACTATCAAAGCTATGACAAATATCACAAGAGTAAAAAGCTCTTAAAATGGGCCAATTTATAACATACTGTATTAGAAGCACATTCAAATCCCTCCAATGTTTCAATGACTGATCACTAGAGTTAGCGTGTGCCTCTTCGGAGCTGACCCAAAATATTAAATGAGGCTTGCCTGTATAAGACTTCAAGAGCTGCGGAGACAAATGCTGATGTATAACAATCAAGGTATTGTACTAGATGATGATGATTGGTGTGGTGTTGCAGGAATAACCCATGCTGCAGTGTGGGCTGCCTGCTGCTCATACATTGCTCACAACACTTCCCCACACCTTCGTTCATCATCACAGGGTGTATTGCAAGGAATCCATCACGGCTTTGGCAGAGGGTGTGGAGCTATCATTGGTGGAATATTTGTAAATTTCTTCGGTAAGTCTTTCTTCTACAGAGTTTTCCAAGTGTTATATGAATGGATATTATGAAGCTCAGTTTAGCCTTCATATATAGTATTGCTGCTCAGGCCAAGGAATTCATCTCTAATCTGTGATCACTTAAGACTTTAGTCTCAGATGTGTACTTATTAGCACATGAGAATAGTGCATGTGATTTTCAGTGTGTAGTGATGGGTGCAGAGCTATGATCATAGTATCCCATCTCCATTTTTTTATTTAATTTAAATATTGGCTGTTTGCGGTGACATCTAAACTGTCGTATCTGAGCGCCTCTGCAAAGACAGTGATTGTGTGAATGATGGTGAAAGTGTTTCTTTCTTTTTTGAGTCGTGCTACCTCGGTGGGAGACGGCCATGTTAAAACAATTAATACTGTATAATCAAATTAAGTCCTAGGTAGTAGGTTGGTAGACAGCAACCGCCCAGGGAGGTACTACTGTCTACCGTCCTGCCAGGTGAGTGTAAAACTGAAGCGTGTAATTGTTTTACACAATGGTAGGATTGCTGGTGTCTTTTTTTTTTTCTGTCTCATACACATGCAAGATTTCAGGTACGTCTTGCTACTTCTACTTACACTTAGGTCACACTACAACATACATGTACAAGCATATATATACACACCCCTTTGGGTTTTCTTCTATTTTCTTTCTAGTTCTTTTTCTTGTTTATTTCCTCTTACCTCCATGGGGAAATGGAACAGAATTCTTCCTCCGTAAGCCATGCGTGTTGTAAGAGGCGACTAAAATGCTGGGAGCAAGGGGCTAGTAACCCCTTCTCCTGTATATATTACTAAATGTAAAAGGAGAAACTTTCGTTTTTCCTTTTGGGCCAACCCGCCTCGGTGGGATACGGCAGGTGTGTTGAAAGAAGAAAGAATCAAATTAAGTGTTAAACTTGAGAGGGGTCATACAGTACTTTTAAATTTTAAGTGGTTGTGGCACTTACTACCTCCTTGCATCCTATTTCATTGTTTTATAGCTCTGAGAAGAACAATTTTTTAGTAGCCTTATGGCACTTTTTTGTAGCTTTCAATTGTGGTCTTTTCTTCCTGCTGATGGCCCTATGAAATTATACATTATTTATTCATTTTTTATTTTCTTTATGATCTTATAGTTGGTAATCATGTCTCCTCTTTCTTCCTTTCAGTCACCATTATTTTTCAGCCATTCTTCATAGCTCGTCTTTCATTTTTATCTGTGGGAGCCATTTTGTAGCTTGTTCCTATCTTTCTATTATGTGAATGTCATATCACCACTTTGTATAACAATTTTGGCATAAAGCATGCTGTGAATAACTGTTATTTTAGAGCTTCAGTTAACTTATCTTTTTTTTACCACTGATGCCTCATACAACCCTTCATCTGATGATTTTAATACAGTATTACACAATCTGTATTCTTTGTATAGCCTGTTATTCCTTTCTTCCATTTCCATTACACAAATATCTCCGCTAAATTCTATCATCCATCTATCACTATTTGCAGGATTTAAGTAGTCATTAATTTTTTTTTTTTTAGCAAGTCGGCTGTCTCCCACCAAGGCAGGGTGACCTAAAGAGAAAGAAAATCCCCAAAAAGAAAATACTTTCATCATCATTCAACACTTTCATCTCACTCACACATAATCACTGTTTTTGCAGAGGTGCCCAGAATACAACAGCTTAGAAGTATATCATATAAAAATACATAATATATCTCTCCAAACTGCCAATATCCCAAACCCCTCCTTTAGAGTGCAGACATTGTACTTCCCATTTCCAGGACTCAAGTCCGGTTATATAAAATAACTGGTTTTCCTGAATCCCTTCACTAAATATTACCCTGCTCACACTCCAGCAGATCGTCAGGTCCCAAATACCATTTGTCTCCATTCACTCCTATCTAACACGCTCACACACGCTTGCTGGAAGTCCAAACCCCTCGCCCACAACACCTCCTTTATCCCCTCCCTCCAACCTTTTCGAGGACGACCCCTACCCCGCCTTCCTTCCCCTACAGATTTATACGCTCTCCATGTCATTCTACTTTGATCCATTCTCTCTAAATGACCAAACCACCTCAACAAAACCCTCTTCAGCCCTCTGACTAATACTTTTATTAACTCCACACCTTCTCCTGATTTCCACACTCCGAATTTTCTGCATAATATTTACACCACATATTGCTCTTAGACTTATACTTATTTTGGACAGGATATTTGCATTATCCACAAATATATAGCTTATGTTCTGAAGCTCTATTGTTAGTGTACTCAGCACACACACTGAAGTCCGTGGTTTGATCCCCAGGATGGGTGGAAACAATAGGATGTGTTTCCTTAAGACACCTGCTGTCCCTATTCACCCATCAATAAAATAGGTACATGGGTGTTAGTCGACTGATGTGGGTCACATCCTGGGGACAAAATTGACCTAATTTGCCTGAAATGCTCTGCATAACCAGGGGCTTTCTATATAGTAGTACAGTATGTCATTTATGCCAGCTAGGCCTGTATACCTTGTACATGTGCTTGTAGAAATAAAGATTATTATTATTTTGAATATAAAGCCCTGTGTCTATGTTACTCATTTTGATTACGAGTAGTATTGCTTGTTTTCATTCAGGTCAGGTTTAGTGCTTCAGGTGATTATAATATTCTTATTTCATTCAGGTACCTCTGTTGTGTTCCGATCATATGGAGTGGTGTCTCTTATTGTCCTTGCTGCATTTATATTCATCAACTTCTACCGGAAAGATGTTGGCTTCCAGCCTGACCTGCCACCTGAAGAGGACCCACGTGAAATGGCTGAAGAGGGAACTGCTCTTGCTCCACACGGAGTTCCAGCTAACCCTCTTCCAAGGGCATTAAGCTCTCAAAAGCTGAATGAGGGTGCAAGTGATGCAGGATATGGCACTTACAATGCAACAAATGGGATGCTGGATATACCAGGTATGTTTGATACATCGAAATGTAATAATGTGGCAAAAATGTAAAAAAAAAAAATTCTCTTTCAAGAAGACAAAATATTCTAAATCAAAGCACCAGATTGTGTCTCCACAGTTAATGCTTTAAATTTATTAATGTAATAAATTATAAAATCAGGATAAAAATTACATATGCTCTTTAATAACTTAGGTAGTGGAGGTGGCGGTGCCAATCCCTTCATCCAGGGTGGTACTGGTGGCAGCGGTGGTAGCGGAGGGTATAACTACACCACTCAGCCTCCTCCACCAATCTTCTCTGAAACTAATCCCTTCAGAAACTACTTTGCACCATCCAGTCCTTTCCCTAATAAGGACTCACCTGTTACATCACCAGATCTCAGCCCTGATTATGAAAGCATCAAAAACAGATTCCAGGTAAGTTTAATATAAAGGTCGAGTTTTAATTAAGAAACGAGACAAAAAAAAGTGGCAGTGTTGAAAGAAAAATTGTGAAACTACAATATACATAAATGGGTCTATGAAAGATGATGTTAACCATAGAATTAATGAGAGGATAAAGGTGGGTGTTGCATTGAGGCATCTGTGGAAACAAGGAACTTATCCATGGAGGCAAAAAAGGGAAATGTACCACTGAATAGTGGTACCAACATTGTTGTATGAGTGTGAAGCATAGGTTTTAAATGCTGCAGCGAGGAAGGGGAAGGTAGTGATGTCCTGCTTGAGGGCGATATATGATGTGAATATTATGTAGGAAATTCAAAGTGTAGAGATTAGGTGTGAGGTTACTAAAGGCATAAATTCAGAGGGTGGGGGAGGGGTTGTTGAAGTAGTCTGGGCATTTAGAGAGGATGGAGCAAAATGAGATGATTAGGAGAGTGCATAAATCTGGGGTGGAGGGAAGAAGAGACAGGGGTCATCCTAGGAAGGGTTGGAGAGAAGGGGTTAAAGAAGTTTTGAGTGCTAAGGGCTTGAACATCCAACAGGCATTGGCTCAGAGTGAGTGAAGATAAGTGGTTTTTATGACATGATGTGCTGTTGGAGTGTGAGCAACGTAACCTTTGCTAAGAAAATCTGGTGAACCAGTTAGCCAGATTTGAATTTTTGAGGTTGGAAGTACAGTGCCTATATTATATAAGAGGGGTTAGGATTTTGCAGTTCAGAGGACCATTTGAACTATGTCAGTGCACTTCTGGCAAGACATTGATAAATGAATGGTTGTAAATGTGTTTCCTGTTATTTTTTGGGTTATCCTACTATGGTAGGACTGCTGGTGTGTTAAATATAGAATAAAATAAATAAATGCTTAAAATGAAGTTTAAGAATAGCAGTTTTGAGAAAGAAATTTTCAAGTTATATCCATGTGAGACTATACATCAAATTCTTAAAATATTGTATTTACCAGTGCTTAAATGTGAATTACAATTATTAGTACCCTACCTTGGTGGGAAATGGCCAATGTGCTAATAATAAAAATAAAGTTATAAAATAATTCTGAAGACTTTGTATATTTTACAGGCCTACAATGATCTTCTGAATGGAAGAAATGAGATAAAGGATGATTCAAAATCTCTGAAGTCTCCACGACATATTCAAAATCCACAGCCAGAGGTCCCACAACCTGTAACGCATGACCACAATCCACAGCCACCATCCACTGCTAATGACTACAACTGGTAGATCAGAGTTCCAAACAAGGCCTAATGAAAAATTTTCTAGGCTTGCTTGTGAGGGTCCTACAAAAATTAAGAAAAAATACTCTTGTCTATAGCTGAAATATTACAGGATGTAGGTACTCCTGTGTTAATACCATCCATCTTACAGAAAATGCAGCATCTGTACTGGATTTCATTATTGTTAATATCTAGAGTACACTGGCATACTAATAAAAATAATGTTAAATTATATACACATATTATAAATGAAAAATATCGAGACCTATTCTGGATAAGCAGTCTTCATATACAACTGGATAGCCACAAATTGTTTAATTTTATTTATTCAGGATAAATCTTTATTTTTAAACATTAATTATCTTGTTCCCCTGTTCATTTATGAGATAAAAAAATTGTTTAATAAAAACTTTTTTGGGCATAGTCTGATCTGGTTCGCGGAAAAACAAAAGTGCAAGTTGTTAAGAGAAAACTTCAGGATTTAAAGTATTTGATGATAATATCCACTTCAGAACTACAGTATTATTTTGGTCCATCCATTATACTGCACTATCTTTTCAAATACTGCATTATTTGTATTCACGAATGGTACAGCATTTCCAAATAGTTGTAAGATAATGAACCACAAACATAAACTGTGTCTGATTTCTGTGCTTTATTACATACCATAGTCCAGTGAAGGAAACTATGTATAATTGCAATGTATTCTTTTTAATATTCATAATTGCCATCCAGAATGTTTATAAGTACATGTATTTTGTATTCAGCCAGACTTTGACTGTTTTCACTGGTTGTCTTTATGAAACAAAAATAGACTATATCCAATACTGTATGTACAAATCTTAGTGCTGTACTATAACTGAACAACAAACTATATATAGTTGGTCCACTTCTCAAAATTTCAGTCAAAACTTCATCTCTCTTTCTGTGCATGGTCTCAAAAAAGATACTTTCTTTATATTTGTAATAAATTCAGCAAGGTATGACAGTAAAAAAATAAGTGCATTTTATAATTCACGTAATGTATATCATATAACAACATTTGCATGTTTATGTGTTATGAATTACCTCTAGTTTAATAGTGTAATAAGATCAATGCAGTACTAGAAGCAGAATATGAGGCAGAGTACTCATTGCAACATTCGAATTGATATCAGATGCAAATGGTTCATAATTAAAAGTCACAATACTCCTATTTCTGCTAGTCATTATACTCAGGAAACTAATAAGTAACATAATTCCTGTTCAAGAGTACTGGGATTTTACTGAAATTTGTTTAATTGCAGACTTCCTAATCAGGAATTTGTTTATAATTTTAAACTTTAATTATTATACTGTACAGTATTTCAGGAATTACCAAAATGTATTGTGAAACATGTACAGTATACAAAGTTCCTTTTGTTATACATAATTAATGCCTTTTTGATACACACTTTCCAGTCCCTTGTATACTTGACAATTTGGTATGCAAAGTTTACATAATCTCTTGGCAGTCAATAAAAACTTAGTACAGTAGTACTGTGTACTGGAATATATCATCATCATTGTTAGGTATCATAAGGTGATGAATTACCTTTCTCTAAATGCCAGTCCAACTACCAATAATCAAAGTCCATTAGAATACCACAGGTCACTTATTATAACTCTCCAAACTTCATTCGTATATATTCTAAGGAAACTTACACAGTATTACTGTATACCATTTTAGCCATGATTAACCAGTGACACAAACTTCCTTAATTTGCCTAATGCCATATGTTAGGTTCATCAGTTCATGGTTGCTCTTCCAAATACATATTTAATATGTTACTAAACAACTATTATTTAAAATAACCAATGGGTACTAGGAATTTTACAGTAAGTGCATGCGTGCACACTCAGATATATTTGTAAAACTCCAAACACCACTAAGATTAAAGAATGATAATTGCTTCCATTATATCAGACTTGATAACTACAAGTTTAAATGGTGAATTCAGTATGTTAAGTTATACAGGTTAACACATTCTTTGTATTTACTGCTGATCCAAAGAAATTGTGATGTTTTATTGTTCAATTTTGCACCCGTGGATATTTAGGTATCCTGTGAAAACAGTTACAGTAGTTTAAAAAGTAATTTGACAGGTTATTCCCTTTAATCTTGTAGCTCTAAGTCTTCAGACGGCGTCGGATTCGCAGCAGTGTTTCCGGACAGCGTCGTGCGGGGGCATTTACTATCTTCAGCTAGCATTTTTACTGCTGAACTGTATGCCATTCTTGCAGCACTTATTCATATCGCATCTATGCCTGTGTCATCATTTGTAGTAGTCTAAGACTCCCTTAGTGCTCTACAGGCTATACGAAAATTTTATACATCTCATCCCCTAGTTCTCCGTATCCAACTTTGGCTACGCCGTATCTCTACCAAACATAATGTTGGGTCCCTGGTCATGTCGACGTACAGGGCAATGAACAGGCAGACACTGCTGCGTGGTCAGCAGTACATGACCTACCAATTTCCTATCGAGGTGTTCCATTTCTGGACTATTTTGCTGCAATAGCTACCCACCTTCGCACCCGTTGGCAACAACGTTGGTCAACTCTGCTCGGTAACAAACTTCATTCTATTAAACCGAGCATAGGTTACTGGCCGTCTTCTTGTCATCAGTGCTGAGGTTGGGAGACCACTCTCTCCCACCTTCGCATTGGCCACACTCGTCTTACTCGTGGGTATCTCATGGAGAGGCACCCTGTTCCTCTCTGTGAGCAGTGTCAAGTTCCAGTATCGATTAGCCACATTCTGTTAGACTGCCCTCTCTATCAACGAGCACGCAGAATTTACCTCCAACGTCGTCTTTGTTCTACTACTCTCTCTTTACCTTCCCTTCTTGCTGATGGACCCTCCTTTAATCCTGACTCTCTCATTGACTTCTTGACAACGACTGATTTACTCCACAAACTCTGATGATACTTTTCGCACTCCCCTCAGCCCTTTCTAGTTCAGTCTCTTGCTGCCCTTTACCCTTTCACCATCCACTACCCCGCTGTTATTCGTAACCTATTACTCATCCATCTCCCTTTTGCCACCTGATGCCCTCGCTTCCTTCCTGCCCTGCAGCGCTGTATAGTCCTTGTGGCTTAGCGCTTCTTTTTGATTATAATAATAATAATTGTAGTTTATTCAGTCACTGCATTACCTACCACTAATGTAACAGTGAGCAATTGCTCTTTTTATTATCATTTAGAGTAACTAATCAAGGATATTGAATGTTCTAAAAAACAAATCTGCAACCAAATATTCAATGTATTGTACTACTTTACTGTTAATATGTCAGACTGGTATTATTGGATTTATACACCTGCACTGTACAGTATAACAAACTAATATTCTGACATCTGATGTCAAAATATTAAATTATTGAGTTTAAAATGGTGGCAGTTATATTAACTTGCAAGAGATGCCCTTTATCTTCTTAATTCTTTGAGGCCAAAACTGCTAATTTTTTAGTTTACTTGTAAGGAAGATTTTTGCTCCCATACTTATCTATGTTAATATTGTACATACACACACATTAAAAGTAATTATCTTAATTACAACCTTTGTATATTTTACATATTCTTATCTAATGTAAGCGATGAATACACAAGATACTGTGGGAAAAATTCATGGCCACTATTGTGCATCAGTTATTTCCTTTATTGAGTTATCGTTAGTAGCAGTAATGCCCAGAAGGCACACAAAGTTGCTTCAGTGTGAAATATAATCTGAAGTTTTGATACAGCAACATCAATTCACATTGAACATTGTAACAATGTTGTGTGCCTGCTGCGTGGCTGACCACTACGAAGTGTACCCTAGAAACTCAGCAAAATTTACCACCTCTTATTCCAGAAAAGAACTACGTTTTATGGCTTAGGGCCTCAGCTGTGGATGGAAATGTATATTACTCTCATGAATTTTTTGCTAATGCGCATATTGCTGTTCATTATGAGGATGAGTGTACTGCCACAGCAGAGAGAATGTGGCAAGTCCCTCATTATCCATGATGATTCATACATAATCATTTCATTGTAAATATATGTCAGTAAACACTAAGTTACCAGTCTGCACCTCAACAGGTAGTTGTCATTGCACACATTGTAAAACATTAGATCAGTATTGTAGAAAATGTAATGCCTCATGGATCAATATGGATTTTTGCCTTAATTTAATTTTAAGGTAAAAACACATTTAAATAAAATTACTGCATATGCATAATATGCTTTATTTTTGGAGCATGTGTTATTTTGAATTTTGAAAATATGGAATGGGATATAATAAATACCTGGTAGATCATTTTAATTTTTTAAGTATTTTTTATGAAAAGTTGTAGATTGGATATGAAAAAGTGATTCAGATATTTTAATATTTTAATTTTATGTAGAAGATTAATCAGCATAAAAAAATAAGTATAAAAATGTAAACGACTTGAGTTTTGGGATTCAAGTGACCTACATAAGTGTACATACAAAAATGTCTTTGTTAATGCTGATAAGAGTACTGTAATAATGACCCAATGCAGTTTTCTTACAAGGTAGTAAAGTTATGATGTCACACTTGTTAACAAACTCATGTAACATACATAGTGAAGTCAGGGTATCCTTGTTAAGATGCTACTCTACTTAAAGAAATAATGATATCAGATTTGTTAGCAGCAGCTGTAATTCATTGAAGCTAGAAACTTGCCAGAGAGTAGAGTAAAAACTTGTTTTCATTAAGAAGTTGTCATGTAATGTAGTTGTATTGTAGCCTTACCCCTGTTGACTCTTGTAAACAAGCCCACCACACTGATAACATTCTGCTGGCTAACATACTGGCATGAACACCTGAGCCCATAGTTCTGGAGTGTCATGCAAGACATAACAAGCGTACTGTACAAAAGACTGTTATTGGATAGAATGGCATTCTGTTCAGGTAATCTTGTTAAGAGTTTATTACAGCAATTACTTGGATCCTACAATCTTATTTATGTATTATTTTCTTTGAAAGAAGTGAAGAAAAATCTATGTGGACAGTACTATATAATCTCCATCTAGATCTGCTGCCAAAATCTTGCAAGTACTGAACCTGGGTTTCATCCTTGCTGCTTCAAACAATGGGCTCAGAATAAACAGTTGTGTCACTTATTAGTTCTGTTCTTGCACTCTTAATGTGAATGGTGTATATTTACTGTGATGAGGGAAGTCTTATGTCTACTCATATGAAATGTTATATATCTATATACTTTCACATGTATGGTATAGTTTATGAGAATATTCTCTACTATAATATGTTATATGGCAACTGAGTGATTAGTGTGAATAATATAACATTGTAGCATAACGAATATAGTTGTAAATTAAGTGTCTTCACTAATATGTATGTTAAGGCTAGTAAAACAACAGTGGAGATACAGAAAAATCTGATTAATATGAAATATAAATTAAGGACTGTAATAAAAAGCAATGAACCATATGTATTAATGATTATTGCTTACAATAAGGATCTTCTATTAAAATACTCTGAGCCATTTAAGTAAAACTGGCATTGTAGGGTCAAAAGACTTATACTGTTCATGTTACTTGTCTTGTTAAATATGTACTGTGTTGTTTATTGTGGTGAAGAGAGATGACAGTTGTAGCAAACTTGTGTTTTATTATCACCAGGGGGGTACCTAACTTATCACTTACTCCTTTTTCAATGACACGCACTGTAAGATAATTACCATAAACCTCGAAAACATTGCAAAATTACATGTGTACATCTTAAATTAAATGTAACAAACAAAATGTTACCCCTCAATATTTTGTTTAATGTATCTCATTACTCCATTCTTTATCTTTAACTAATCTTTTCTCTAATACATGTCACCCTTTCAAATTTTTACTGTTAACTGCAGTTTACCCTTTCTTCTTCTTGTTTCAACAAACTGGCCATATCCCATGGCAGCAGGGTGGCCCAAAAAAGAAAAACAAAAGTTTCTCTTTTTAATTTTAGTAATGTATACAGGAGTTACTAGCCCCTTGCTCCCGGCATTTTAGTCACCTTTTACGACACGCATGGCTTATGGAGGAAGAATTCTGCTCCACTTCCAAATGGAAAAGTTTACCCTTATCATATCTAATACTAAATCTTATAACAAAGATAAGCAAAGCTATATTTTTTTTAGTTTTTGTTTGGAATAATACATTTTTATAAAAATTCTTTGGTGCCATAATAGACATCATGTTTAAACTTATTGTGAAAAATATTACCATTCGTGCTATAACATTAGTCGCCACCTCCGAGAGTGTAGCGAAGGTCCTTCTGTGTTGGCCTTTGTAGTGGGTGTGCCAGGAGACTACCACAGTGGTTGTGGAGCTTGGTTGCATTACGAGACACCTCCAAAACATAACTCCAACCACTCTCGTCTAAGCCACATAAGATATCAAATATACCCTGAAAAAACAATGAGCAGTGTTTGAGGTAATAACCAAACTCACATATTGATTAACATTTAAATTAAATATTTATACAAATTGCAGTTAGACAGGTCTTGGGTTGCTGAAAGAAAATAAGTAGCTTAATGATAAAAATTTACCTACCTAACTGTAATGAAGACGCATTACCTTGCAATAAAATCAACAAGAACAGTAACTGGGTCTGAATGGTTACGGACAATGAATTGAAATTAATACATATACTGTATACTGCTATTATAAAGTAGTGGATCGGTGATATGATATCCACCTGGTGCTTGCCAAATAATTTTCTTCCGGGGAAGAGTTTAGGTTGCTAAATAAATACAGTATACATACATTATTGTATAGGAAAGGTAGGGGGTGTGTGGACCAGGTGTTTACAGTGAAACATATAAGTGAACAGTATTTAGATAGGCTAAAGAGGTTTTTGTGGCATTTATGGATTTGGAAAAGGCGTATGACAGGGTGGATAGGGGGGCAATGTGGCAGATGTTGCAGGTGTATGGTGTAGGAGGTAGGTTACTGAAAGCAGTGAAGAGTTTTTACGAGTGAGGCTCAAGTTAGAGTATGAAGGAAAGAGGGAGATTATTTCCCAGTAAAAGTAGGCCTTAAACAAGGATGTGTGATGTCACCATAGTCATTTAATATATTTATAGATGGGGTTGTAAGAGAAGTAAATGCGAGGGTCTTGACAAAAGGCGTGGAGTTAAAAGATAAAGAATCACACATAAAGTGGGAGTTGTCACAGTTGCTCTTTGCTGTGCTCTTGGGAGATTCTGAAGAGAAGTTGCAGAGATTGGTGGATGAATTTGGTAGGGTATGCAAAAGAAGAAAATTAAAAGTGAATACAGGAAAGAGTAAGGTTATGAGGATAAAAAGATTAGGTGATGAAAGATTGGATATCAGATTGGAGGGAGAGAGTATGGAGGAGGTGAATGTATTCAGATATTTGGGAGTGGACGTGTCAGCGGATGGGTCTATGAAAGATGAGGTGAATCATAGAATTGATGAGGGGGAAAAGGGTGATCGGTGCACTTAGGAGTCTGTGGAGACAAAGAACTTTGTCCTTGGAGGCAAAGAGGGGAATGTATGAGAGTATAGTTTTACCAATGCTCTTATATGGGTGTGAAGCATGGGTGATGAATGTTGCAGCGAGGAGAAGGCTGGAGGCAGTGGAGATGTCATGTCTGAGGGCAATGTGTGGTGTGAATATAATGCAGAGAATTCATAGTTTGGAAGTTAGGAGGACGTGTGGGATTACCAAAACTGTTGTCCAGAGGGCTGAGGAAGGGTTGTTGAGGTGGTTCGGACATGTAGAGAGAATGGAGCGAAACAGAATGACTTCAAGAGTGTATCAGTCTGTAGTGGAAGGAAGGCGGGGTAGGGGTCGGCCTAGGAAAGGTTGGAGGGAGGGGGGTAAAGGAGGTTTTGTGTGCGAGGGACTTGGACTTCCAGCAGGCATGCGTGAGCGTGTTTGATAGGAGTGAATGGGGACAAATGGTTTTTAATACTTGACGTGCTGTTGGAGTGTGAGCAAAGTAACATTTATGAAGGGATTCAGGGAAATCTGCAGGCTGGACTTGAGTCCTCGAGATGGGAAGTACAGTGCCTGCACTCTGAAGGAGGGGTGTTAATGTTGCAGTTTAAAAACTGCAGTGTAAAGCACCCTTCTGGCAAGACAGTGATGGAGTGAATGATGGTGAAAGTTTTTCTTTTTCGGGCCACCCTGCCTTGGTGGGAATCGGCCAGTGTGTTAATAAAAAAATTAAATACTTTTTTCCAACAGACTGGTTGTATCCCACCAAGGCAGGGTGGGACCTAAAAAGAAAATAGTTTATCTTTTTTTTGTGTTTTTTTTTTTAATTTACTAATGTTTACAACATAGGGTTACTAGTCCCTTTCCCCTGGCATTTTAATTGCTTCTTACGACATACATGGTTTATGGAGGAAGAATTCTGTTCCATTTCCCTATGGATATAAGAGGTAATAAAGAAGAACAAGAACTATAAGAAAATAGAAGAAAATCCAGATGGGTATGTAAAATATATGCATGTACATGCATATGTAATGTGACCTAAGTGTAAGTAGAAGTAACAAGATATACCTGTTATCCCACATGTTTATGAGACAAAAAAAAAAAAAAAAAAAGACACCAGCAATCCTATCATCATGTAAAACAATTACAAGTTTCCGTTTCACTCACTTGGCAGGACAGTAGTACCTCCCTGGCTGGTTGCTGTCTACCAACTTACTATCCAAGTGTATACATGAATATACAGTATATGTATATTTTAACACAGCTCAACATTATTATTGCATTTAAAAACTTAACACATTTAAAACAAAAGCCCTGAAAATTTTACAAACAAAATAAATATACAGTATATTGACAACCACAACACATTAACACTGAAAATTTTACAAATGAAATAAATATATTAGAAAGTATGCACCAAACCTGTGAAAATCTTTCAGTATTCACAACTGAAAATACACAAACTTTAAAAAACCTGAAGCTAAAACAATATTACACAAAAAAAATATACTAGCAATTCACTGTAAGTGTTCTAAACTAACCTCACATTTGTTGTCATCACAAGGAGCCTCATGCATGTACAAAACATCCAAAAAGAAGTGTGGACTCTGGATGAGGTGTGTGAATACACCTTTTCCTTCAAGAAACTGAGGCAGACACTGTGATCTCCCATACAAAAGAACTGCAAAGGAAAACAATGAAGAGCTTTCATACTGTTAAGCAAAAATAATTTAAGATGTACAGATATTTGTTTATCCTTGGTATTAACTATAGTTATCTCCTAAAAGAAACCCTTCAAGGGAGGTGCTGGAATGCTGGTGAAGGGCTCTTGATCCAAAGAACTGGAGCTATCCTATGCTTTCTTGAATCAAATATGATTGCCTCCCATTTTACAGTCATATAACCCATTTGAGTTTAGCACTTCCTTATAAATATAATAATAAAATGAATAACAAGAGAAGCCAGGTTTATTAATTTTATGAAAAGCTTCTCCGTTCAATTCTTTAACAGTAGTGTTCTGTAAATGGAACTTGAATCCTCAGATACTATATGACCCCTACAGGTTTAGCACTTCCTCAATAAAAAATTAACAATAATGTCAATCCCTAAGGAATATAATAAACTTAATCAAGAGCCTTACAAAAACATGCAATATGTGCTACTTTTTGAGTACAAATTATTATTGTAACGAATTACAGTAATTATTTTATAATGATAATTTACCGAATTTAAAAAGCAATTTTAGTTGATTAAAAATAAAAATTACAGTAATTTCTCATAAGAAGTGAATGTTAAAATACTTGATGCTATGTAATTTTTTTCATTATATGTACAAGTAAATAGGTATATATTTTATTACAGTTGCAGGACATATATGGGAAGAGACTTAGTGCTTTATTTTAAAAATAAGATGTTACAATAACTACAGTATGTACCACAGCATTACTGACTTGTTCTATATACACAAGGTGGAGGAGCAACAGCTGGATTGGAGCAACTGGGCAAGGAGATCTGCTGTGCAATGAGGTCAAACAGAAGACTCAAGTCACAGTGACTCGTAGCTAAAGCATCATCTATGTCATCCAGTTCAGAGATGATCTCCTTTGGGTTATTTGTAAAGTCATGGAGCTGAAAAACAATGTATTAGTTAATGACACCTGCAAATTTAGATCTTTGAATTTATTTTTCCCCAAACCTTCTGGCTAATATCCAACAATTTATGCTTTAACTAAATACTTAAAATACTGGCTGAACTAACATTAAGAATTCATTGTACATGTATACTTTCATAAAGATATATAGCATAGGAGAGAGGGAGATTACTTCCCAGTAAAAATAGGTCTTAGACAGGAATGTGTAATGTCACCATGGTTGTTTAATATATCTATAGATGAGGTTGTAAAAGAAGTAAGTGCTAGGGTGTAGGGGAGAGGGGTGGGATTAAATTATGGGGAATCAAATACAAAATGGGAGTTGACACAGTTACTTTTTGCTGATGATACTGTGCTTTTGGGAGATTCTAAAGAAAAGTTGCAAAGGTTAGTGGATGAGTTTCGGAGGGTGTGTAAAGGTAGAAAGTTTAAAGTGAACATAGATAAGAGTAAGGTGATGAGGATATCAAACAATTTAGATAAAGAAAAATTGGATATCACATTGGAGAGAGGGAGTATGGAAGAAGTGAATGTGTTCAAATATTTGGGAGTTAACTTGTCAGCAGATGGGTTAACGAAAGATGAGGTTAACCATAAAATTAATAAAGAAAAAAAGGCGAGTAGTGCACTGAGGTATCTGTGGAGACAAAAATCGTTATCCATGGAGGCAAAGAAGGGAATGTAAGAAAGTATAGTGATACCAATACTCTTATATGGGTGTGAAGCTTGGGTTGTAAATGCTGCAGAAGGAGGCAACTGGAGGCAGTGGAGATGTCGTGTGTAAGGGCAATGTGTGAGGTAAATATTATGCAGAGAATTTGGAGTGTTGAAATTAGGAGGTGTGGAGTACTAAAAGCATTAGTCAGAGGGCTGAAGAGAGGTTGTTGAGGTGGTGTCATCATTTATAAAGAATGGAATGAAGTAGAATGACTTGGAGAGCATATAAATCTGTAGGGAAAGGAAGGCAGGGTAGGGGTTGTCCTCAAAAAGGTTGGAGGTAGAGGGTAAAGGAGGTTTTGTGGGCGAGGGGCTTGGACTTCCAGCAAGTGCATTTGAGCATGTTAGATAGGAGTAAATGGAGATGAATGGTTTTTGGGACTTGATGACCTGTTGGAGTGTGAGCAGGGTAATATTTAGTGAAGGGATTCAGGGAAACCAGTTATTATAGATTTAGCTGGACTTGAGTCCTGAAAATGGGAAGTACGATGCCTGCACTTTAAAGGAAGGGGTCTGGGATATTGACAGTTTGGAGGGACTTCTAAACTGTTGTATCTGAGCGCCTCTGCAAAGACAGTGATTATGTATGAGGTGAAAGTGTTGTATGATGAAAGTATTTTTTTTTAGGGATTTTCTTTCTTTTTGGGTCACCCTGCCTCGGTGGGGGACGGCCGACTTGTTGAAAAAAAAAAAATTAGAAGACAGAAGAACTATATACAAAAGATGAGGTAATCAGTCCCTCAGCCGTGGAGCTGTGAAGAATCTGGAGCACAGGCAAGAAAGCTGGCGCTTAGATACTGGCGTCAGGTTGAAAGAGGCGGGTAGCAGATGAAGGCATTGTCATTGGTTGGAAGGATTTCTCAGTGGAAGTAGGTCATACTGAGGGACGGGTTAGTAGTAGTGAAGGTTGTAATGTCCTCTGAACCAAGATTCCATGATGTTGCAGTGTCTGACAGGTTGTACAAGAATGATATACAATACCTACAAGATGAAAATTAGACATATATGCAACATCTGGGTATCGTTATTGTAGACACTTCACTATCCAGTGGCTCTATCAATACAAATTCAAGGACATAATTGGAAGGCAGAAGAAATGGATGGCAAAAACGTCTACAGAAGAACTGGATGGCAAGAACGTCTAGAGAAGAAGATGGTGAAATATCTACAATAAAGATATCCAGATGTTGTACACGTGCCTAATTTTCATCTTGTCGGTCTTGTATACCATTCACATACATAGAAACAGCTGTTGGTTGTTATACTACTAGATGCTTAATGTTTCCACAATAAAGTTACCCAAGTATTTCACAAATGTCTCAATCACCTACTGAACAGAAGCAGTGCTTGCAATCTAGCAGTGCATTCAATCTAACAGTGCTTCCAATCTAGCAATGTTTTCAGTCTAACAGTGCTTTCAATCTACTTCAATGCTCTTCTACTATTCATTTAATAAATGGTTATATGAAAGAGAAAGGATTTTTGACCAAAAATAAGGAGTCAACTTATACACAGTACTGAAGTACATATGGCAAAACATATTGCACATACTCAGAATACTCATAGTTACTGCTTAAAAATTAAACAGTGAATTTTTATTCAATACTGACATACCCATATTGGCGATTCATGAAGCACTACTAAAGCAAACTTATGTCTTATATCTATGGCGTGTTTGTTCTGAAGGAAGAGGGTAAGGGCACGTTTCACCATATAGAGAGCTGAGAATTTTGTTCCGTCAGCCAACTTATATGGGGTATTTCCTTCTTCTTTGCATACATCAACAACCAGAATCTATAAAAAAAAAAGCCAAATTATCATATAAAAACACACTGGCACTATATTTAGATTTCTTATACTGCACATCAAATGTATGAAATGTCACTGAAATATTAAATATACTTTTTTTAACACATCAGCTGTCTCCCACCAAGGTAGGGTTACCCAAAAAAGAAGAATAACTTTTATCATCACTCATTCCATCACTATCTTGCCAGAGGTGTGCCAATACTACAGTTCAAAACTGTAAATATCCCCATCCTTCCTTCAAAGTGCGAGCACTGTATTTCCCACCTCCAGGGCTCAAGTCCAGCTAACCAGTTAAATATACATATATGTACATGTATGTACCTTTGAATGTATGGACTACCAGTACACTTTTATAAAGTAAACCCTTGACTTAATGGACTAGCAGAGGGAGAGTTGATGGATGGTAATGGTCACAAAAGATTGCAAAGTTTTGTCCTATCAACAGAAAAAGAATGATATATTACACATACGTACATCAGAGTAAGCCAGAGTTTTACCACAAAATTACTAATCATTTTGCTCGAAAGTCAAGAACCTTACTGAACTATGTTTAAAATATTGAGTTAAAAACATATTTCCTAAATCATTTGTTAAATGAATCAGTAAAAAACAAATATTCATTAATATTCTTACATTATCTCTATCAAAAAAAAAAAAGCCTTATAGTGTCATTCACTTAGCCTTTCAGTTTCTTTTACAACACAAGATTACTTTCTAACAATATTTAAATTTATAAAATGTTCTAAATGGTTTAACATACTAACTGGAATTCACTGACCATTATTATGAAAATATTGGTCATGCATTCTTATCCATTATATGTGATAATACTGTATACATTTAGCTTATTTCTTAAAAATCTGCAGAGAAAAGTTGGAGAGATTATGTCCTGCCTCATTATTAGCTGCAATTTCATCATCAAAAATGTCTAACTTTCTCTTTCCTCACTGATGTGTAGTGATTTCTATTTCTTTTACTGTATGATATTATAATAATATCATTCATGTTGATATATAAATTTGCTAAATACATTAATTATACCAAGCAAAATACTGTACAGAATAACAGTTGGCAAAAAAACTTACAATTGCAGAGAGAAATTTTATTGAAACATTTCACCTGTTGAAGAGGCTGCTTCAGTCAGGCTTCTGAAGACATCTGTTCTACAAGCAAAACATCTAAAAGCTCCTCTCTGCAACTGTGAATTTCTCACCACTTGTTGACTCTGTGCCCCATGGCCTGGTGGCTAAAGCTCTTGCTGCACATAGTGAGGGCCCAGGTTTGATTCCCAGCAAGGGTGGAAACAGTGAGCGTGTTTCCTTATGCTGGTTGTCTAAGTTCACCCATCAGTAAAATGGGTACCAGGGTGTTAGTCGACTGGTGTGGGTCACATCCTGGGTCAAAACTAACCTAATTTGCCCATAATGCTCTGCATAACAAGCAGCTTTCTATATAGTAGTTTGTTACTGATGTCAGCTAGGCCTGTATACCTTGTACATGTCCTTGTAGAAATAAAGATATTATTATCTGTGCCATTTGTCTCCAGTATACCAGTGTATAACTTGGTACTCACAATATGTTCTGGGCAGTTAATCCTGGGCACATGCCGCTCTATCGTTACATTTTCAAGGTGTTCAGTGGCTTCTTGTGCCTCCGAGGGAGAGGATCGTCCAGATGATCCATCCTCACCACTCATTTCTGAGGTGTAACTCACTAGAATAAAATAAATGTGAAAAGATATATGAAATACACATAAAAGTTTAAAATTATCAAATAACACAAGTACAAAAAAATAAGCTGTTAAGCAAATTCATTGTGGGCACAGACAAATCAATAGCTATAATTGCAATGAACCATATGATGGTATGTCAAGAAGTACGGTAGCTAAAAATAATAATATTTTGGAAAAATATGTGATGGAGAGAGGGGGTAAAGGAGGTTTTGTGGGCAAGGGGCTTGGACTTCCAGCAAGCGTGCGTGAGCGTGTTAGATAGGAGTGAATGGAGACGAATGGTACTTGGGACCTGACGATCTGTTGGAGTGTGAGCAGGGTAATATTTAGTGAAGGGATTCAGGGAAACCGGTTATTTTCATATAGTCGGACTTGAGTCCTGGAAATGGGAAGTACAATGCCTGCACTTTAAAGGGGATATTGGCAGTTTGGAGGGATATGTTGTGTATCTTTATATGTGTATGCTTCTAGACTGTTGTATTCTGAGCACCTCTGCAAAAACAGTGATAATGTGTGAGTGTGGTGAAAGTGTTGAATGATGATGAAAGTATTTTCTTTTTGGGGATTTTCTTTCTTTTTTGGGTCACCCTGCCTCGGTGGGAGACGGCCAACTTGTTGAAAAAAAAAAAAGATGAATGTGAGATATATTTATGTGAACAAAATGAAGAAATTGAGACACAAGTAAAAAATAAAAGAAAAGATGGCTATGGAAAAAATAAAGAGATAAATAGGGGAATAGAAAATAATCATGAGTTACTGAGGCAAAAATGGTGATAATTTTTGTGATAAAAAGATTATAATAGTGCTGATAGAATTATCGACAATTATCGAGTACACTGAGACAACATAATAAGTGTCCAGGGCCCAAGACTCTTCAATTGCCTCCCAGCATACATAAGGGGGATTACCAATAGACCCCCTGGCTGTCTTCAAGAAGGCACTGGACAGGTACCTAAAGTCAGTGCCTGACCAACTAAGCTGTGGTTTGTACAGCAGCTTACAGCAGTAACAGACTGGTTGATCAGACCCTGACCCACCATGAGGCCTGGTCTTAGACCGGGCTGCAGGGGCAACATTTCGCTCTCCAGGAGCTTTATCAAACTCATGGAGAGCTTTGACATGTAGCTGAATGGTTCAGAGAACTGACACGTTGATAAATTAGACACATGTGCAACTCTTGATAAATTAGACACATGTGCAACTCTTGATAAATTAGACACATGTGCAACTCGATGTGATCAGTCCATCAATCAAGATTGATGGACTGATCACATCGACTCAAGGTTGAGGGACTAATTACCTCATTCTCCTCCTGTTCCTCAAGATTCTCCTTTGTATGGACTGATGAAGCCACTGTGTGGCGAAACGTTTCCTCAATAGATACCCAAGAGTTGCACATGTGTCTAATTTATCAGAGCTTTGACATGTTGATGAATGGTTCAGAGAAACAACAAGTTGATAAATTAGACATATGTGCAACACTTGGGTATCTTTAATGAGGAAACGTTTCGCCATACAGTGGCTGATGAAGCCAGTGTGTGGCGAAACGTTTCGGAATAAAACTATTTAACTTTCGCACCTATGTCTTACTTATCAACTTGTTGGTATTGTGTACCTTGTACATGTACTTGTATTAAATAGATATTATTATTACCATTCACTCCAACATTCCCCACCTGACCCTTCACATCACCACTCCTTATGTCAGCATAGTTGCTGAATCCGACACTTATATATATATGCACATCCTCTCCCAGGTAGAACTTTTTGTGACGATAAAGCCCACTGTGTGGGGAAAACGTTGCAAGAACATAAGAAGGGTGGAACACTGCAGCAGGCCTACCGGCCTGTATTTGGCATGTCCTTCTCAAATCCCAACCCAACCTTGGGTAGCCCATTTTCAAAGCTACCCAAGGAATAAACTTTGACTGCCATGTGATGAATGGTTTGAAAAACCGACAAGTGAAGATTGAGACATTAATGCAGCATATGGAATCTTTATTCAGGAAACGTTTCGCCACACAGTGGCTTCATCAGTCCAATACAAAGAGAAGGCGTAAGGAGTAGGAGGAGAATGAGGTAATCAGTCCTCAACCTGAGTCGATGGATCGTCCATCAATCTACAAGATTGTGGACCTAACACATCGACTCAGGTTGAGGGACTGATTACCTCATCTCCTTCCTTACTAGCCTTCCCCTTTGTATTGACTGTTAAGCCACTGTGTGCGAAAGTTTCCTGAATAAAGATTCCCATATGCTGCATAAGGTCTCAATCTTCAATTGACTGCCATCCTAACTCATGGATAAATTGTATAAAACAGACGTGAAAAGATAATTGCAAACCTTTATGACAAGTTTGGTTCCACACAGTGGCCTTATCAAGGGCCAATGAAATCTACCGAGTGATAGAATTAAGACCGTAGTCGTGGAGAATCTCCACGACTACGGTGGTCTTCGCACCTACTGCTAGGTTGAGGGACTGATTACCTCATCTTCTGTACATAGTTCTCCTGTCTTCAAGTTATGTCCTTGTAGATGAATGGTTCGGAGAACCGACATGTTGATAAATTAGACACATGTGCAACTCTTGGGTATCTTTATTGAGGAAACGTTTCGCCACACAGTGGCTTCATCAGTCCATACAAAGGAGAATCTTGAAGATTCAAGATTCTCCTTTGTATGGACTGATGAAGCCACTGTGTGGCGAAACGTTTCCTCAATAAAGATACCCAAGAGTTGCACATGTGTCTAATTTATCAACATGTCGGTTCTCCGAACCATTCATCTACAAACCTGTCAGACACTGCAACTTCTTGGGATCTTAATACTTGGGAATTCTTCGCTTGCCTAATTCTTGGGCACGACCTACTTCAACATTGAACAAATGTTACACGACCTATGACTTCTGAACCTCTCCTGCCAACGGTTTATAAGCTCCTTCTCAGCACGTATGCCGTATTCTATTCAAGATTGATGGACTGACCACATCGACTCAAGGTTGAGGGACTGATTACCTCATTCTCCTCCTGTTCTTCAAGATTCTCCTTTGTATGGACTGATGAAGCCACTGTGTGGCGAAACGTTTCCTCAATAAAGATACCCAAGAGTTGCACATGTGTCTAATTTATCAAGTTATGTCCTGGAATTTGTATTGATAAAGCCACTGGATGGCGAAACGTCTACAATAAAGATACCCAGATGTTGCACATGTGTCTCAATTACATACCTTAATGATATCTCCTCTCATTCTTCGTCTCTTAAGAGAGTGAAGAATCAAGGAGATTCATTACACAGTTAGTCAACTTTGTCATCCTTCTCTGTATGTTCTCCAATGAATTTATATCCAGTCTGTAGTAAGGAGACCAAAACTGGGCAGCATAATCTAAGTAAGGCCTCACTAGTGATATATTGAGCTTTAAAATAACTTTTGAACTGTTACTGCTTGATATAAATCCAAGCCATCTGTCAGCCTTATTGCCACACTTAGGCACTGTTGTCTTGTGGTTAGGTAAGACACATATGCAACAGTTAGACAACTTTATTCCGAAACGTTTCGCCTACACTATGGAACTGAACTTCTCCAGGCCGAGGGACTGACAACCTCAAATTCTACGACTTTAAGGGTGATGGACTGATTACATCGTCTTCACATCTCTACTGTTCCTGCCTACTTTCTGTATTCGACTGAAGAAGCCTACTGTGTAGGCGAAACGTTTCGGAATAAAGTTGTCTAACTGTTGCATATGTGTCTTACCTAACAACCTGTCGGTATTGTATACCATTTTGATGTTCACTGTTGTCTTGTGTTTAGATTTCTGTTTACTATAAGAACAAGGAAGGAGCACTGCAGTAGGCCTACATTAGAAGAAACGTTTCGTCACTAATGGTTTCTTCAGCCCTAATTAAGAAGCCACTAGTGGAGAAATGTTTCCTCTAATATATGTCCTGAGTTGTACATGTGTCCTTTTCCACTTGTCGGTATCACCACACCACGCCTGATGCCTCTATAATTGACTGAAAAAGCCTACTATATAGGGGTAACGTTTCAATCAACAATACAGACACCTTTTTTAATATTCACACCCATGTGTTGCACACGTGTCACACTCTCCAGTATAAGGTTAGCATAAGAGGTGGCTGCCATGACCTCACTCATCTGCCAGTCAGTGAAGAGGCGGGGCAGCGGGAGGACGCCAGTTTGCAGCTAGGCCACACTGGCTTTTTCCAGCCACAACTGCCTTGACATACTTTTACCATCAAAGGTCAACAACTCTCACGGTGACCAGTTCAGTTGTGTGTGTGACATTGTGGTGGTGTCACGTCTCTCGCATCCACCATTTCTCTGGTGATGTGGTCTTACCGGTGATGCTGCACCAGCCTTCCTGGTTTCCTCTTGCAGGTGCAATGTTGTCAATGAACAGCTGATCAGTAACATGTAATATAACCATCTTCTTGATTCGGTTCAAAAGGAATTCATCGTGTCGGTGAAGCCTCCCCTATCTCATCACTCTAAGGCCATTACGCTGTCTTGAATTCAGGTATTCCATCTCATCTGTAACACAGTATCCAGCAACAAGTTTCCCTAAACCAGCGGAGAAGTGTCTCAAGGTAAAGTTAAAAAAAAAAAAGTTTTAGCACAAAAACTTGAACATGAACCCCTTCAAGAACGTGATGCGTTCGATCCTGCAGCGTCGTAGTGGTGATGCTCGGTTGTCTCGCTGGGCCTTGAAGGTGGCCTGTCTCCAGGATCTATTACAGCACCTGGTAGGCCAGGACAAGTCTATCAACGCCATGGGTAACGTCGCTAGTGATCTACCCCAGGAAACTCCTGCCAAAAAGGGTTTACAGTTGCCCGCCGACAACCATACATCCTGCCATGATTCTCCAGAATTTCTCGTCAAGTTAGCTAAGGTAACTTAAAATTTCTTGTTCTTAAAACTAGCTGAATACTGAGTAGGCCTATTGGCGCCTGTTGGGTAAGACCTAGCCAAACCCATACGTTTGTTTGTTTAACCTAATGTTAAAGCTGAATTTATCCAACTTTTTAGTTATTTCGGTAATTATAGAGGTCAGGTCCTTGAGCGACTGAGACTAATTTATTCCCAAAATGTTCAATTACCTAATGTAACTATGTATCTTTAGTAAGGGTTCATTTAGACTGCTACGCAGAATGGACATAAAGGTTTATCCCATGCGTCAGAAATCTTGTTATAAATCTTGGCAACTGATACTGACAAATTAGTTAAAAAGGACACATGAGCAAACATTGGGATATATTTGAAACCATTTCAATCCTCGAACCGATTACTGCAGGAATACTGCAGTAGGCCTGTTGGCCCATACTAGGCAGGCCCTTCACAAATCTAACCCACTTATTGCTTGGGTAGCGTTTATTCTGTTAATGAGTTGGATTTGTGTAGGACCTGCCTAGTATGGGCCAGCAGGCCTATTGCAGTGTTCGTCCCTGCTTATGTTCTTAAATACTACCCAAGCGATAAGCTTTGATAATTCTGTTCACTCACTTGCAAGTCCCTACTCAGATCCAACCCCTCTCACTTATGTATTTATCCAACCTAAATTTGAAACTACCGAAGGTTTTAGCTTCGATAACCCTACTAGGCAGACTGTTCCACTCATCAACTACCCTACTACCAAACCAGTACTTCCCTATATCCTTTCTAAATCTAAACTTATCAAATTTGAATTCATTATTGCGGGTTCTCTCTTGGAGGGATATCTTCAAAATCTTATTTATATCCACTTTGTTAATTCCCGTCTTCCACTTATATACTTTGATCATGTCTCCCTTCATTCTTCGTCTTACAAGTGAATGTAAATTAAGACTTCAATCTTTCTTTATACGGAAGATTTCTAATGCTATAAATTAATTTAGTCATTCTACGCTGAATGTTTTCTAACAAATTTATATCCATTCTGTAATATGGAGACCAGAACTGAGTTTTGGTCTCCATATTACAGAATGGATATAAATTCGTATTGGACTGATGATGCCACTGGCGGGCAAAATGTTTTCCCAGTAAAGACCACCCAAGTATTGCACAAGTGTTTCATTCATCAACTTGTTGGTTTTCTAAACCACTTATATAACCATTAAAAATAGGTTGGACAGGTACATGAGTGAGTTGAATTTGCCTCTCATGGGCAGTTGGCCTACTTTTTGTGCTCCTTTCTTATGTTCTCTAATGCATTTATATTCAGTCTTGCTCACCCTTGTGTATATCAGAGAGATGAGGATGCATGCAAATCAACCAAAGAGGCACGCATAAAAAAACATTACAAGTAGTCAATTAATGCAATGCTGGGTATGAAAATAGTATATCTGAAGGTCTTTACGAAGGATGTAATGAGCCTTGCCATGATATGGCACACCCTCCAGGGAAGAAATTCTGGTGAAAATTAAATCATCAATGGTTAAAGAATCACCATTGAATAACCCTTGTGGGTTTAGCACTTTAATAATAATGTATTGCCCCATCTGGTTATACTGCCTTTGACTCATTTAATCCTTGTTTACTTTTTCACTAGTCACCCTCAGCATATATAATTTTTATATGTTAATGGCTTATCTGCAGTGTTCCTCTTTTTCTATGTTCTTACTGTTGTTTCCAGATCCTTGTGGTAAAGTCCCTTGCTGAAGACAACCTGGATGGCATCACAGAAAATGTTTTCTTGGTAAGAATGTTTATGTAGTCTTTGCAACTTTTAAGATCAAGAGTGTAGAAAACAATCACTTTTATTTGGTTTTAACTACTGTATTGTATTCTAATGAGTTAATAATTTTTTTACTGTACTTTTATGCACTCAATTTTTGGATATGTTGTTCATCTGTGTTGTTTTGTAATCCGAGAGTTATTTTTGACAGAACTTGAGAACTCTTGAAGAATCTTTACTGTATAAGTTGTAATGTAACAATATTTAAATCAACTTTGATTGAGCTAGTGTATTGGTTAAAGATAAGTTTACCTGGAGTTTACCTGGACTGAGTTCTGGGGGTCAATGCCCCCGTGGCCCGGTCTGTGACCAGGCCTAAACAAATATTAACCATATTCTTGAATGCATAAGGTTTATAATACATCTCTCAATCTCTCCTTCAGAAATACGTGTGCAAGGATAACCAGCCACTTGGTAAACGGTTGTTTCACTACCTCATGACTCGCTGGCAAGAGAGCTCTGAAGTAGAGTCAGAGAATGACGACTTGCAGGGTCTTATGTCTAAAGCAGCATTCTTATCATCAGCAAATTGCCTTTTGGGGCTCTTGTCAGATTCTCGACAACTTGAGTTCTACATTAAGGTATTTGCCATAATTTATACTTTATGAATTAACTGTTCTAAAAAGTTAATGTCATTTTCTTCTGTATGTAAAAAAATCTCTTATTGTACTTACATTAATGATTTGTATAGAATCTGAACTTAAGAATAGATACTTTTGTTTAAAAGAAGACTGTAAGACCATAACAGCTATTCAGAAAGTACTTACATCAGTGATGTTACATGGTAGTTTTTCATTCATCTGAAATTCCATTGACAGACCAGTATTTTCCTATGTCCTTTCTAAATCTCAAATAGCATTTGTTAGCTTTCATTAGAAATAAAGTTGGTAATCTTTAAGAACATTACTCTTCCTGAAATTTCTTTACTCTATTACCCACTTAGGCATGGTAGTACACTTTCAAAAAAGCAATAAATTATATTCTCAACAGGTATTTGCAGATGACAAAGAAAAGATTGAAAGAAAGGATGTGTATGAGCTGGTATTTGCTGCCTATCAGATATCCACAGTTGCCCATCATACTTGCTGCTTGCCAGATGATATCCTCATGGCTGTTGTAAATTCTGCTGTAAGTATCATCATAATTAGCTTATTTCCACAAATCTGTACAACCTTGAGGAAATGAGAGGGCTGTCCTATTATGGTGTTTTTTACACAAGTTATAGCAGTGATTATAACTGGTTTGTTTAATACAAGAGAACTTTTGAGCAATCCAGGCACATTGTATACTGTATTAATATTGGTAGAATTACCGACACAAATGCAAATAATGTGATGTTTTATTGTGGCCACAATAAAATGTCACATTAGTTGCATATGTGTCCTTTTACTTAACATATTGTATACTGTTTGTCTCATAAGAATCCAGAGATTACATTACTTCACTTACAAAATAATATAAAACAATATAAGACAAAATACTGTACTAATGGTTTAGCCCTTGTGGCTTAGCACTTCTTTTTGATTATAATAATAATAATGTACTAATGGTTAATGGAGGCCTGTTCACCTTACATCATACAGCTAGCCACCATAGTGACAAGCAGGTTCACTTCAGCTTGGGAGGCCAGTATGGAGTAAATAGCTCTCCCATGCTCATTGAAAGTGGCACTACAAGACTATTAGGTGGCTTGGTGGCTAAAGCTCCTGCTTCACACATGGAGGGCCCAGGTTCGATTCCCAGTGGGTGGAAACATTTCGACGCATTTCCTTACACCTGTTGTCCTGTTCACCTAGCAGCAAATAGGTACCTGGGTGTTAGTCGACTGGCGTGGGTCGCATCCTGGGGGACAAGATTGAGGACCCCAATGGAAATAAGTTAGACAGTCTTTGATGATGCTCTGACTTTCTTGGGTTATCCTTGGTGGCTAACCCTCAGGGGTTCAAAATCCAAACAAAATCTTATCTCAGTAAGAATATATAATCATGAATTTTCTATGGTTCTGATGTCCTTGTAAGACTCATACATGTGAACCTGTTTAGCATCATTAAATAATACACAGAATCTTGTAACTAGCTATTTTTGTTTGAGGAGAGCTCAGAGCTGTTGGTTCCACGTTTTAGCTTTTTGATCCAGTCGTATGAAATAGCATCTTCATATCTAATTTTGGAATGTTGTGCTATATTTAGTCTGTACATAAATGGTATGCAATACTGACAAGATGAAGAATTAGACACGTGCAACACCTGGTTATCTTTATTTGTAAGATATCCAGATGTTGCACACACAACTAATTCTTGGTATTTAGTCATCTTCCACTCAAGTTTCACTTCGTTTTGCTAGGTGAGGATTTCAGACAGGTGCTGTAGGCTCAGGAATGGGTTGTAATTTTGATATACAATGTGTCAAAGGTTCTGAATGTGACTCTTGGGGACACTTGTTGCCCACTTTGAGAAAACTATAATTGTATGCAAAAAATTATTAATGCATAAATTAATAAATAATAATTAATGCTTCAGAAATAATTGAATGGTTGTTGCTTTTATTGTAGGTTAAGAGTCAAATTGAAAGTTTCTTGCTAAGAGAGAGAGAGCACTGTTGCTGTGGTTGGCACCATTCTAGTTGTTTCTCTGTATTAAATACTATATTAAATATTATTGCTATTAACTTGGCTTATGTAATACTTAATTGTTGTACATGTTACAGATGCATGGGAAGGAGAGTGTGAGCACCAAATATCTACACAGTTGGGTGTCTCAACATTGCCCTCGTCTAGTGATGTGGCTACACCGTTGCATCACTCACATGCTGACTGTTGGTCATCGTACGATACCAGATAATACAGATGAAGGAGAGGTTAGTTGTATAAGGAGATAGGGGTCCCACAGGGCAACATTCTTGGTAAAACAGCTTGCCAGTGCAGTTAATGGCAGTATGTTTGCAAGTGATTGGTTTATGTCCTTCAAAGTTTCTCTCGTGTTAGTCATGGAATGTCAGGTGATGCCCATTCAGACTCTGGTGTCTTACTTTCATAGGTTTACATTAGATGGTTTGAGGCAGCTTGCAGGCGAGTCATAGGTATTTTAAGAGCATTGGCTTCCACTGCCTCAGGAACTGAAAGGCATATTGTACTATACTCTGTCTTGGCCATACAAACCCTTTGTTTTGTCAGAGCTAAACAGGGATGCAAGGTGTATTTCTTGGGTCCTTGCACTTGTTAATGTTTTTGGTAATGAGTAGCCAATGAAATAAATAAGTATTACATGACAGGTGGTCTTTCTTAAGTGTTCTTTCTCATTTTAAGTCTTGTTGCTCATGTTTATAAGAAGCTTAGGTGCAAAAAAGAGTAGTTTGTCCATGATTATATTCTCAAAGGTTAAATTGGTGGGACACAGTGCATGCTTCCCTAGAAATGGGCCACAATCCTCTCAATCACAGCTACTTAATGGACAGTGGTCCACCTACTACATGTAGCAGTTACAGGGTTTTTGACTGTATGGAACTTTGAACAGTACTGTCTCTCCTACACTGAAGGAACTTTGGTTCTGGTGCTCCCACGATTGTCAAAGCCATAATAAGTTTCCCCACTACTGGTTTTTAATTTTGTGTGATGTTTCTTTTCCAGTAAGTGGTACTTTTCCATATTATTAAGAAGATAGTATCATTAAAATCTCCATTCTAAGTGTATTTTGTAAAACAAACCTATAAAAACTTTTTTTGTTTTAATTTAACTTCATTATTCTTTCATATTGTTTTATCCAGCATCAGTTATCAAATAACATAATGTCAGTCATAAATAACCAATTTGTTATAATGAATTAGACACATGTGCAACACTTGGGTATCTTCATTGAGGAAACGTTTCACCATGCAGTGACTTCATCAGCCCATGCAAAGGGCAAAGGTGAAGAACATGAGGAGTTTGAGGTAATCAGTCCCTCAGCCTTGAGTCGATATAATCAGTCCATCAATCTTGAAAAGAATAAAGCATGTGTGTGAAGAACTGGCTTACATACTGTAGACAGGTGAGATGAAGCAGTTGTAGGAGGTATCACACTTGACAAATCCAAATGTGGAAGTAGGTCATGCCTAAAGGTTAGGCAAGTGAAGAATTCTCTTTGTTTGAGCTGATGAAGCCACTGTGTGGCAAAACGTTTCCTCAATAAAGATACACAAGTGTTGCACATGTGTCTAATTTATCAACTTGTTGGTTCTCTGAACCATATATCTACAATTTGTTATGATGTTAGTCATATTTAACTAATTTGTTAATTATTTGTGGAGGCAAGCATACCCTCTGGTGAAAGAAACATCAATTGTGAATGTCTTGAAATGTGTAAAAATGTCTGTTAAATTGAAGGATGTTTTGTCTTATTTAACAGGATGTTCGAGATACACCAGTCCTAGACTGCCCCAGCAAGACTTCGTGTGTAACTCTTCACCCAGCACTCATCTGGCTTTTAACAGGAACTCTGCCCACTATATACACAAAGCAACAGAAGAACCAGGATCTTTCCTCATCTAATAATCTGTTGTTGGATCCTCATGTCTTCATTAACAAAATGGTGGGATTTTTAAGGATTTGTTATATTGTGACTGATAGAACACTGCATTGTATTACAGTGGTCCTTTGAGTTATGATGGCTGGGGTTGCAATAATTTGGAGTTACCATTTACCCCTTACAGAGGAATTTTGTTTTGAGTTGCAGTTACAAATATGATATATGTATGATGGTATGACTGTTCTTTCCTGTCTGATCTCTTTTAGTTTGTTATATGTTTTCAAGTTTTAAATCCCTGTTTGTGTTCTGTGAGGAATATTATACTTTCTAGATATTAACAGTTTGGAGGGATATGTTGTGTATCTTTATATGTATATGCTTCTAAACTGTTGTGTTTTGAGCATCTCTGCAAAAACAGTGATTATGTGTGAGTGAGGTGAAAGTGTTGAATGATGAAAGTATTTTCTTTTTGGGTCACCCTGCCTCGGTGGGAGACGGCTGACTTATTAAAAAAAAAAAATAATCGTTTCTAATAATTTGCATGTTATGATCATTATTGTTTCTCCTTTCTTATGTTCTTATGGACACTAGTTTTGAGTTTCATGACTGTCCTTTTCTTTAAATATTGGTTTCATGTCTTGCCATCTGTTAGTAGTCTCAGTTTGCCATTATTAATGATGTAAACATTGTGGGAATAGCTTGTTCAATTGATCCAAACATTATTAAGAGTGTTCATGCTTACGAAGAGGGTTGGGTGGGTGAATTTAAAGAGAGTGAATGGAGTACTTCTTTTAGTTCATACACCCTGCACAATTGTATTTGATACTTTTCTATCAGTAAACATAGTTTGATTTTCCTCTGTTGTAAGTGCAGGAATTATTCATAAAAACTAAAGGAGAAAATTCAGAAACTACCTTTAAAGAAAAAGAAAATTTATAATGATGTTTTAGTCCAACTTGAATTGAAATGTTGTCATGAGTTTGTCTCCTAGGTGCAGGTTATTTGTGTATTGTCCTAGTCATAGTATTGTGCCTTAAAATTCTGTACCTTTAAAAACTAAAAGTAAAAAAAAAAGATGTCTTGATACCTTTTTTGTTTTTTAGTGTAAAAAATTGCCTCAACATTTAATATAGCTCAACAGTAACAGTGCTGGAGTTGCTTAAGATATAAAGATACAATACATCATTTGTTATATTGAAAGAAATAGCTTAGGAAATCAGGACACCTCTTTACTCTGAGACACAGGTGTTACTAAAGCCAGCTGATGTAATACCATTGTGTTGCATTATCCCTGTCAATCTTTTATTGCTAGCCTAGTTTTTCCCTTAATTTTTAAATGCTTAAAGCAGCTGATTTTCCTTCTGATTCTTAAATATTATAGATTCAAGTGCATGAATAAAACGTTTTTCTTGTAGATTTCTGCTGGAAGTCCTACACACTGGATCCTACTCTATAACAGTGAAAATGATGGCCTCAGTATTAACAGGTAAGTTTTAAGTAGTGAGATCTTCATTATCAGACGGTAAGTAATGAGATTAAATATGTAATAACTCTAGTGAGTGTTACCTATTTGTGTTTGTATGATGAACTAGCTCTTGCAATCACCTCTAAATTTTTTATTGATGTAGATTCTTCCTCTTTTACCCCCTCCCTCCATCCTTTCCTAGGATGACCCCTACCCCTCCTGCTTTATTGGTAAGAATTAAAATATTCTTCACAAGAACTGGTTTAATTAAATTCATAGGAAGAATTATTTTTAATTTTTAACACATCAGCCATTTTCAATGCAACATTAACAGTTGCAGTTTTATAACTGTAGTGTAAGCATGCCTCTGGCAGGACAGTAATGGAGTGAATGATGAAATTTTTTTTTTTTGGGGGGGGGGGGGGGGGGGTGCTACCCTACCTTGGTGGGAAACGGCTGTGTTAATAAAAAAAATAAAATAATTCTTCCTATGAATTTAATTAAACCAGTTCTTGTGGAAAATATTTTAGTTCTTAGCAATAAAGCAGGAGAGGTAGGGATTGTCCTAGGAAAGGATGGAGGGAAGGGGTAAAAGAGGTTTTGAATGCAAACGTGTGAACACGTTAGATAGGAGTGAATGGAAATGAATGGTTTTTGGGACCTGGTGAGCTGTTGGAGTGTGAGCAGGGTAATAATTTTTGAAAGGATTCAAGGGAATTGGTTAGCCAGACTTGAGTACTGGAGGTGGGAAGTACAATGCCTGCACTTTAAAAGAGGGAGTTAAATGCATAGAAAACAGCATACAACAGATTTTTCCTGTAATATATTTGACAGTTGCAAATTATTTTAGCGTAAAGTTGATGAAGTCATACGTCTGGCAGTGAACATTTAGGGGTGGACTGCAGCTCTGCAGCTCTTATGGATGAGCTACCACTGGGTTTAGGATATTGGCTGTTTGGAGTGATATCTAAACTATTGTATCTAGATGCCTCTGCAAAGACAGTGATTATGTGTAAATGATGGTGAAAGTGTTTATTTGTTGGGTCATCCCTTCTCGGAGGAAGACAGTCGACATGCTGACAAAAATTTTTTTTACTTTTATTGATAAAAAGAATATAATGCTTAATTCATTCATTAATATATAGGTACTTTACTCACAGATTCCAGTACCATGTATTTGGCTACCGAAGCCCAACAATGATGTTCATAACAGCAGAAGGTGGTAACCTGTTTTGCTTGGCATGTGACATTGACTGGAGAGACTCGAAGCATTTCTGGGGTGGCGAGAATTGTCTCTGCATGCAGTTAACCCCAGAATATAAAATCATTGAAAGTAAGGGATATATTATAAGAGTTTTTAAAAATAGTAATAATGACTTACCTTAAAAAATATTGTGCATTACATATATAAGTATACATATTACACTATTTTTAGACAGTTTTGCAAAATCCATATAGTATTACATGCAGTGTTTCAGTGCAGGTTTTCAGCTGTATGATTTATTAGTAATATATACAATCTGATGAATTTGGTAAGAGATTTCAGAAGAGTTTATTTAGCATGCTTGTCTCATAGCCAGTGGAGAGGGGGGAGATCAATTCTTTGTGAAGATTCCTTTACTAAATTTCACAATAATAGTGTGAAATTTCATTTTTTTTCCAATGTATATAATTTGTTGAATTCCTAACTAGTTACTGCTTCATTTGTATGAGAGTGAACTTCATGGTTTAATTTAGTCTTTACTTATTTTTGATTGAATGACAACAAATTTAAAAATGTTGCTTTGTATTTCCTACACACTTCTGGTAATATGCCTGTTGAGTGAGTCATGGTGAATGTGTTACCTTCCTTAGGTACAAAATTAAATCCCCTTTTTTATGTTATAATTTTATTAAGAATGCCATGAGGTAAGTTTCTTCTACAGTAATTGCAATACATTCTTACTTGAAGTAGGAAAGTGTGCAAAAAAATCTTGTTGGGAACAAAACTGAATATGGAAAATACACTTATAATCCTTTTGGTAACCCCACACCTAATCTTCAATCTCTGAATTCTCTGCATGTATGATGCAAATATCATACAGGGAAGAGTAGATGTGGGGTTACTGAAGTGTTCAGAGGTTGAAGGAGGGGTTGTTGAGGTGGTTTGAACATTTAGAGAGCATGGAGCAAAATAGGAAAGGTTGAAGAGAATGGGGATTCAAAGAGGTTTAGAGTGATAAGGGTTTGAATATTCAACAGGCATGTGTGGACACTTTAGACAGGATTGATTGGAGCCAAGTGGTTATTAAGGTTTGATTTCCTGTTGTAAGTCCTGAAGGATGGGTGGGGATTTTGCAGTTCAGCGGGCTATCTGAGCAGTGATGTGGCTGATGTCAGCATATATCTGGGAGATGGCCGATGTGTTAAAAATTATAATATACAATTATTGTGTAACCAGTTTACATTGTTCTTTTCTCTACGTAATTAGGTGGTGCAAAGATAATGTACTTCAATATATCATCACGAGGGTTTCCAACTGGTATTCAAGTGGGTAAAGACAGCACCAATCGTGCCCTCACACTTGACTTAAATCTCACATTAGTCACCTACCGCATGATTCCTTACAAGTTGCAGTCGATTGAAGTCTGGGGATGTGGTACATGTGAAGCCAAGTAAGTAATTTTCAAGTTCTGTAAAAAGGTTTTTATATAGAGAAAGAGGCTGTTTAAAATTGTGAATGAAATCATTATATCAGGAGTTTCATTACAGGTAGAGAAAAGTTAAAAAAAAAAAAATAGTAAATTACAGTTGACCCCCAGTTAACGATATTTTTTCATTCCAGAAGTATGTTCAGGTGCCAGTACTGACCGAATTTGTTCCCATAAGGAATATTGTGAAGTAGATTAGTCCATTTCAGACCCCCAAACATACACGTACAAACGCACTTACATAAATACACTTACATAATTGGTCGCATTGGGAGGTGATCGTTAAGCGGGGCTCCACTGTATTCTAGTCATGGTACCTGGTATTGATTTTTTTATTCTTCATGGGAAATGATGACTATGAGTAGAGAGAAATGGTATAAAATACTGACAAGATGGAAAAAGACAAAAACAGTATAATATGATCCTTTAGTAACAACATTTTGCCCACACGGTGGGCTTTATCAAGTCAGTAACAGATCTACCTAGGGAGAATGGGGTGTGTATGTATATATATATATAGTGAGAGTGCTAACCTGAAGAGTGAGATGAATTATGTTGAAAAATTCCTGATAGACTGATGAAGCCCACTATGCGGGCAAAATGTTGTCAATAAAGGATCACATTATACCACTTTTGTGTCCTTTTTTTTTATAAGGATTTCATTTCTGTTCTGCATTCTGGATAGGTTTAGCACTGCATGATTTGGTATGATGCTGAAAGTTATCCTTAAATGTTACTCTCATGTTAGAAAAACATCAAATTTGTATTCAGAGTTTATTACGCAGTTGTAATTAAATGTGTATTTCACTTACCAAAACACAGCTCGTATGTTTTGGTTTTTCCTAGGAACCAAAATGTTTTGTACCACTTTTTTCCTCTGTATTACCAGTCATTCTATCAGTGCTATAGACCTGTCTAGAGGAAAACATTTCCCCAGTATTAACCACTTAAGTCCTACCACCCTTTATTTCAATATTAAAAAATCTTACAAAAAAAAAATCTTATTGAGGATGAATATTAACAACTATGATAATACTGATATGATACTGTGCTTATGGGAGACTCTAAAGAAAAATTGCAAAGGTTAGTGGACGAGTTTGGGAGTGTGTGGAAAGGTGAAAGTGAACATAGAAAAAGAGTAAGGTGATGAGGGTATCAAATTATTTAGATAAAGAAAAATTGGGTATCAAATTGGGGAGGAGGAGTATGGAAGAAGTGAATGTTTTTTAGATATTTGGGAGTTGACGTGTCAGTGGATGGATTTATGAAGGATGAGGTTAATCATAGAATTTATGAAGGAAAATAGGTGAATGGTGCGTTGAGGTATATGTGGAGACAAAAAACGTTATCTATGGAGTATGAAAGTATAGTGGTACCAACACTCTTATATGGGTGTGAAGCTTGGGTTGAAAATGCTGCAGTGGGGAGACGATTGGAGGCAGTGGAGATGTCCTGTCTAAGGGCAATGTGCGGTGTAAATATAATGCAGAAAATTCTGAGTGTGGAAATTAGGAGAAGGTGTGGAGTTAATAAAAGAATTAGTGAGAGGGCTGAAGAGGCGTTGTTGAGGTGGTTTGGTCATTTAGAGAGAATGGATCAAAGTAGAACAACACGGAGAGCATATAAATCTGCAGGGGAAGGAAGGCGGGGTAGGGGTCGTCCTCGAAAAGGTTGAAGGGAGGGGGTAAGGGAGGTTTTGTGGGCGAGGGGCTTGGACTTCCAGCAAGCATGCGTGGGCGTGTTAGATAGGAGTGAATGGAGATGAATGGTATTTGGGACCTGACGAGCTGTTGGAGTGTGAGCAGGGTAATATTTAGTGAAGGGATTCAGGAAAACTGGTTATTTTTATATAGCCGGACTTGAGTCCTGAAAATGGGAAGTACAGTGCCTGCACTTTAAAGGAGGGGTTTGGGATATTGGCAGTTTGGAGGGATATACAGTGGACCCCCGCATAGCGAACTTAATCCGTGCAAGAGGGCTGGTCGTTATGCGAAATGTTCGCTATGCGAATTAATTTTCCCCATAAGAAATAATGGAAATAAAATTAATCCGTGCAAGACACCCAAAAGTATGAAAAAAAAATTTTTTTACCACAAAAAAATGTTAATTTTAGTACACACAAACTGAAAAAGGCATGCACAATTACATGACACTTACTTTTATTGAAGATCTGGTGATGATTGATGGGATGGGAGGAGGGGAGAGAGAGTGTTAGTGTTTAGAAGGGGAATCCCCTTCCATTAACACTTGAGGAGGCAAGTCCTTTTCCGGGGTTACTTCCCTTCTTCTTTTAATGCCACTAGGACCAGCTTCAGAGTCACTGGACTTCTTTCTGTCCATAGAGCTCTGTACCTCCCGTTCCTTTACGATTTGTCTAAAATGGGCCATAACATTGTCATTGAAATAGTCACCAGCACGCCTTGCAACAGCTGTGTCAGGGTGATTTTCATCCATAAAGGTTTGCAGTTCAACCCACTGTGCACACATTTCCTTAATTTTTGAAGTAGGCACAATGGATTCCACAACTGGCATAGGCTTCTCAGGGTTAGCCCCAAACCCTTCAAAATCTTTCTTAATTTCCATACTAATTCTCACCCTTTTTACCACAGGGTTGGCACTAGAAGCTTTCTTGGGGCCCATGGTCACTTATTTTCAACAACAGAACCGAAAACACTGTAATAATACGAAATATTCCGAGTGTATGCTTGAATGTTACCGCGGAGGCTAGCTGGTAAACAATGGGACAGGCGGCACATGTGAGGCTGGCCGAGGCCGCACATTGGACGCGTCTCGGACGAAGTTCGCTGAGCGGGTTTTTGTCTACTATGCGGGGCAAAATTTTAGCGATCAAAGCGTTCGCTATGCGGAATGTTCGCTATGCAAGGCGTTCGCTATGCGGGGGTCCACTGTATTGTGTATCTTTATATGTATATGCTTCGCTGTTGTATTCTGAGCACCTCTGCAAAAACAGTGATTATGTGTGAGTGAGGTGAAAGTGTTGAATGATGATGAAAGTATTTTCTTTTTGGGGATTTTCTTTCTTTTTGGGTCACCCTGCCTTGGTGTGAGACTGCCAACTTGTTAAAAAAAAAAAATTAACAGCTATCAATCCTAACAGAAATCCTTTTGCATTTCAGAGAAGCACAAACCGAGCTGAAAAAACGTGAAATAAGAGATGTCGAGAATCGACGGAAAGTTAAATTAAATAGTTCTGACTGGTTGGACAATCCTGACCGCTATCTTATTGAATTGGCAGGTACACGCCTAAGTTATGCTCAATATGACACACCTGCTCCTGGAAACTCTTCTAAAAATTCATAGTTGAGGCCACTGATTTCTTTGTGATTGCTTTAAATACTGTACTGTATTAGACCTGACTGCAGTAGTAGTTAAATGTGTTAAGATAGTTATTCAAGTTTTTAAATTCTGGTAATGTATAAGTAAATACAGAAATTAGTGAGAAGACATACTCAGGATATCCATGTTGACTATGGTTGTTAAATCTTGTTTTTGAATGCACATTAAATCCATAATATTATATGTAATAAAGCTGTTAGGTTTGTTATTTGTATAAGTCATATTGTTATGAAATTTGTATGAGGCATATTCCAGTTGTTGGCTTCATTCCATCTTATGATTCCCTAGTCTAGTGATCTAATTTCAGTGTAATGTTGTTTAGTATTCATAATCAGTTAAGGTTATACGCTGAAGAAGGCTGTAATTTCTTAAACCAAATTTTTCTGTTGTTTTTTTGTCTGGCTTTTTACATCCATGCTTCACTTGTACTAATTTTCATGTACGAGTTTGGTCATGTATTGTTCTGCAATTCACTTTTCCCCCTTCATCCAACATTTAAGCATTTTTCTGTTTTGTTAATACTATGCTATGTTTACAACCCTGTTTTCATATCAACAACTTGACCTCTTTACTCCTGAAATATGAAGTTTATTTTACATGGACATTCTCTTATCCATTTTACTGAGAGTATATTTCAGAGTATATTTCTTTCTTTTTGGGTCACCCTGCCTCGGTGGGAAACAGCCAATGTGTTAAAAAATAATTATTTCTCATACTACCCATATTGTGAATGTTCCTTCTACCCAATCCCATTTAAATTTGTTAACCTTTGCCTTCCTGTTGGGTATTTTCTCAATATAGTAATATCACTAATATTAAAGACTTGAGCCCCTGGGATTGGGTCTGCGATAAGTTTTTTTTTTTTTGTGTAATGCATCTTCACATTATGTATTGTGCAATTATTCAGATCCTCAGTGTTTTTTAACTGCACTAACAACTCTTCCTCAGTATTTTTTGTTACTAAGCACTAGCTGCATTTAGTCATTATTATTACTTATTTTTACTAAGTACTTGCTATATTTTAGTTGTTAATTTTACTGAAGACTCTTTCGGGTTTAGCTCTTAGTCTGATTGTATTATTATTAATAGTATTAATTTTACTAAAAAGAAAACAAAGCTTGATCACTTTTACTTAGAACAAAGCTTCATGTCTTATTGTGTAAAGAAGTGTTTTGTGTGATGGCTGAGGTACCAGTGAGTACTCTATGGCTGTTCTATATGCTGGGTTTTTGTTTTCAGATAAACTAGGTCTGTGATCTGGTTTATAGATAATATGCTTCTCTCAAGTTTTTTAAAAGAAGGAAGATTAGCCATTTACTTACACCAAAATGAAAAAGTGTTGTGTAGATACTTAAAAAGGATTTTCTTGCCTGGACCAACAAGCCTACTTCCGTGCCTCACTTTTTTTTTAATATATTTTAACACTTCATAATTTTAGAATACTGTACTGATAATCACTACATAGTGTTTTTAACTATCTGAAAATTATAGTAAATTAAAGTAGAGACAGTTATATTCTTCTTAAGTTAGTCTTTTCCTTTCACCTTTTTCAATGTATTTTGAAGCTGTATATTTTCTCATTCCATTTTTGTATCTTATTTTTAATACCTTTATCATAAATATGGGAGGTACATATTGTCACCCATGTCTGACCATATTATTTTTGTTTGTGGTTAAATGGCTTGAAACATTCTTCTGAACTTGTTATCTTGCCATCCATATGCAACATTATGAAATACTGTGATTGCAAACCTCTTTAGAGGTGCCTTCTTGCCAGTGAAGGGCTCTTGATCCAGGGTGCTCTACATGTCCATCTATTCCTGGGATTGAACCTCGGTGCCTTGCATTCTCTGAGTACTATGTGACCCCTGAGGGTTTAGCACTTTCCATGATAAAAAGTAAATGGAATTACAAATAATCGGGTCTTTGTGAAATGGGTTCTCCAGGCAGGAGAATGATGATGAAAGTATTTTCTTTTTGGGTCACCCTGCCTCGGTGGGAGAGAGCCGACTTGTTGAAAAAAAAAAATACACAGATGTGGGTCTTATGCATTATTTTTTTTTTTTTTTTTTTTTTATCACACCGGCCGATTCCCACCAAGGCAGGGTGGCCCGAAAAAGAAAAACTTTCACCATCATTCACTCCATCACTGTCTTGCCAGAAGGGTGCTTTACACTACAGTTTTTAAACTGCAACATTAACACCCCTCCTTCAGAGTGCAGGCACTGTACTTCCCATCTCCAGGACTCAAGTCCGGCCTGCCGGTTTCCCTGAATCCCTTCATAAATGTTACTTTGCTCACACTCCAACAGCACGTCAAGTATTAAAAACCATTTGTCTCCATTCACTCCTATCAAACACGCTCAAGCATGCCTGCTGGAAGTCCAAGCCCCTCGCACACAAAACCTCCTTTACCCCCTCCCTCCAACCCTTCCTTGGCCGACCCCTACCCCGCCTTCCTTCCACTACAGACTGATACACTCTTGAAGTCATTCTGTTTCGCTCCATTCTCTCTACATGTCCGAACCACCTCAACAACCCTTCCTCAGCCCTCTGGACAACAGTTTTGGTAATCCCGCACCTCCTCCTAACTTCCAAACTACGAATTCTCTGCATTATATTCACACCACACATTGCCCTCAGACATGACATCTCCACTGCCTCCAGCCTTCTCCTCGCTGCAACATTCATCACCCACGCTTCACACCCATATAAGAGCGTTGGTAAAACTATACTCTCATACATTCCCCTCTTTGCCTCCAAGGACAAAGTTCTTTGTCTCCACAGACTCCTAAGTGCACCACTCACTCTTTTTCCCTCATCAATTCTATGATTCACCTCATCTTTCATAGACCCATCCGCTGACACGTCCACCCCCAAATATCTGAATACGTTCACCTCCTCCATACTCTCTCCCTCCAATCTGATATTCAATCTTTCATCACCTAATCTTTTTGTTATCCTCATAACCTTTACTCTTTCCTGTATTCACCTTTAATTTCTTCTTTTGCACACCCTACCAAATTCATCCACCAATCTCTGCAACTTCTCTTCAGAATCTCCCAAGAGCACAGTGTCATCAGCAAAGAGCAGCTGTGACAACTCCCACTTGTGTGTGATTCTTTATCTTTTAAAACTCCACGCCTCTTGCCAAGACCCTCGCATTTACTTCTCTTACAACCCCATCTATAAATATATTAAACAACCACGGTGACATCACACATCCTTGTCTAAGGCCTACTTTTACTGGGAAAAAATTTCCCTCTTTCCTACATACTCTAACTTGAGCCTCACTATCCTCGTAAAAACTCTTCACTGCTTTCAGTAACCTACCTCCTACACCATACACTTGCAACATCTGCCACATTGCCCCCCTATCCACCCTGTCATACGCCTTTTCCAAATCCATAAATGCCACAAAGACCTCTTTAGCCTTATCTAAATACTGTTCACTTATATGTTTTCACTGTAAACACCTGGTCCACACACCCCCTACCTTTCCTAAAGCCTCCTTGTTCATCTGCTATCCTATTCTCCGTCTTACTCTTAATTCTTTCAATTATAACTCTACCATACACTTTACCAGGTACACTCAACAGACTTATCCCCTATAATTTTTGCACTCTCTTTTATCCCCTTTGCCTTTATACAAAGGAACTATGCATGCTCTCTGCCAATCCCTAGGTACCTTACCCTCTTCCATACATTTATTAAACAATTGCACCAACCACTCCAAAACTATATCCCACCGGGCTTTTAACATTTCTATCTTTATCCATCAATCCCGGCTGCCTTACCCCTTTCATTTTACCTACTGCTCACGAACTTCCCCCACACTCACAACTGGCTCTTCCTCACTCCTACAAGATGTTTTCCTCCTTGCCCTATACACGAAATCACAGCTTCCTATCTTCATCAACATTTAACAATTCCTCAAAATATTCCTTCCATCTTCCCAATACCTCAACTCTCCATTTAATAACTCTCCTCTCCTATTTTTAAACTGACAAATCCATTTGTTTCTAGGCTTTCTTAACTTGTTAATCTACTCCAAAACTTTTCTTATTTTCAACAAAATTTGTTGATAACATCTCACCCACTCTCTCATTTGCTCTCTTTTTACATTGCTTCACCACTCTCTTAACCTCTCTCTTTTTCCATATACTCTTCCCTCCTGCATCACTTCTACTTTGTAAAAACTTCTCATATGCAAAACTTTTTCTCCCTTACTACTCTCTTTACATCATAAATTCCCCCAAATCGCTCCTCTTCCCTCTGCACCCACTTTCCTGTAACCACAAACTTCTGCTAAAGGGACTCTAACACTACATTTTTAAACCTACCCAACCTCTTCGCCCCATTGCCTATGCTTCATTACCCCATTATCCTCCAATAGCTGTTTATATCTTCCCCTAACTGCCTCCTCTTTTGTTTATAAACCTTCACCCCTCTCTTCCCTGATGCTTCTTTCTCCCCTTTTATCCCATCTACCTTTTTTCTCTCAGTGTAGCTACAACTAGAAAGTGATCTGATATATCTGTGGCCCCCCTATTTAAAAATGTACATCCTGAAGTCTACTCAACAGTCTTTTATCTACCAATACAAATCCAACAACTACTGTCATTTCGCCCTACAAACATATCGTGTATACTTATTTATCCTCTTTTTCTTAAAATATGTTTACCTATAACTAAACCCCTTTCTATACAAAGTTCAATCAAAAGGGCTCCCATATCATTTACACCTGGCACCCCAAACTTACCTACCACACCCTCTCTAAAAGTTTCTCCTACTTTAGCATTCAGTCCCCTACCACAATTACTCTCTCACTTGGTTCAAAGCCCCTATCATTCACTTAACATCTCCAAAATCTCTCTCTCTCCTCTGCATTCCTCTCTTCTCCCGGGGCATACACGCTTATTATGACCCACTTCTCGCATCCAAACCCTTTTCTTTAATCCACATAATTCTTGAATTTACACATTCATATCTCTTTTCTCCTTCCATAACTGATCATTTACATTACTTTCTACCCCTTCCTTTGCTCTAACTCTCTCAGATACTCCAGATTTTTAAACCCATTTATTTTCCCCCCACTGAAACTCTCCTACCCCCTTCAGCTTTGTTTTCGCTTAGGGCCAGGACATCCAACTTCTTTTCTCATAACATCAGCAATCATCTGTTTTTGTCATCCGCACTACATCCACGCACATTTAAGCAACCCAGTTTTTTAAAATTTTTCTTCTTCTCTTTTTTAGTAATTGTATACAGGAGAAAAGGGGGTTACTAGCCCATTGCTCCCGGCATTTTAGTCGCCTCATACGACACGCATGGCTTACGGAGGAAAGATTTTTTCCACTTCCCCATGGACAATAGAAGAAATAAAAAAGAAAGAGCTATTTAGAAAAAGGAAAAAACCTAGATGTATGTATATATATATATGCATGTGCGTGTCGGGAAGTGTCCCCAAGGTTAGTGGGATAGCAAGATATCCCTGTTATCTTAGGTTTTTATGCTTTTCTATAATATATTCCTTATTTTAGCTAAATAATGGACAAAAAAATTCAGGGTAATTTTTTTTTTTCACTTTATAAATTTGTACATTCAATTGTAGAGTTTTAATGTATACATTTAATTCAAGAGTTGATTTTCATGGTATATTTAAGAAGGGGAGTAGGTTGTAGCAGCAACCACCCAGGGGGTACTACCATCCCGCCCCGGGGAGTGTAAAATGTAGGCCCGTAAACTTTTAATGATGGGAGGATTGTGGTTTTTTTTTTTCTGTCTATAAACATGCAAGATTTCAGGCATATTGCACTTCTGCTTCACTTAGGTCACACTACATAAACATGTATAAGCATGTATATATACATACCCCTCTGGTTCTTCTATTTTCTTATTAGTCCTTGTTCTTATTTCCACTCATCTCCATGGGAAAGTGAAACAAAATTCTTCCTCCATAAGCTATGTGTGTCATAAGAGGTGACTAAAATGCTGGGAGCAAGGGGCTAGTAACCCCTTCTGTATATTTTACTAATTTTAAAAAGAGAAACTTTTGTTTTTCTTTTTTTGGGCTACCCTGCCATGGTGGGATACAGCTAGTGTGTTGAAAGAAAGAAGAAAGGTTTAAGATGGTTTATTTTATAGTTGTAAGCCTTTTTTTTAGAATATCAGTTGATTGTAAGAAGATACAATGTTAAACTTTTACTGTCTAGTAAGGGATTGAGTCAAATCCTTTGAATCTCTTCATCAGTGATTTCATAGCTTTATAGGGGTATGGGTGATCTGAAGTCTCTTAAGTTTTATAGGTCGCTAAAGGGTAATAGTACGTACGTATATTGTTTTAGTGATGCACTTAATGAAACTCAAGAAATGAACCCAAATGAGCACCACCACATGTTCACACCATAATGTGCCCCCCTTCCATTCACACCCAAGTGTGCACTCCCGATCCCTCTGTTCACACCCACATATGTGTGCTCCCTCCTATTCACACCCAGATGTACAGCTCTTTCCCTTTTCTTG